TACATTTTGTATGAATGATGCATTCCATTTGAAATTACTGTCAAACAGTACTAAATTTTGAATTTTGTGTGTACCTATGCAAAGTATGTTTACAAAATAAAGATGTCAAACTTCTACTTTGAAATTCTGTGGGCTCATTTGTTGTGTATGCTACATGTATAATGCAGATTGCGTATCATGAAAGAAATTTGATAGTATGAATGAATCTAAAATCAAGGGATCAGTTGTGCTAAATGCATTGTGCTACATTCGTTTTCTAGGACATCAAACAACTGATAATTACCAAAAAAATTTTCCTTCGCGATTTTACCCCTATTTTCCTCTTATTTTCCCTATTTTTTCACTATTTTCCCCAAATTTTCTTACTCAAAAGAGGGGAGGGGGGATGTTGTTAGATGCCATTTTTTTTTTGTCCAGTTTTGGAGGGAAATTTCGCAACGACTCAGCCAGCCGCTGAATAAGGGGGGGGGGGGGGGTATGAGCACATATTTTTTTTTTTTTTTTTTTTTTGTGGCCCCGGAAATTAGAAATTACGCCGTCAAATATTTCGTTCGGTGGCTTGGGGGGGGGGGGGGGGGGGGGGGGGTGGGAACACTTTTTGTTTGCCTCTTTGCCCCCCCCCCCCCTGTGTACGCGCCTGACATGTATATCCTGGAGTGAACTCAATATTTAGATGGCGATTTCTTCATTTCCTTTTTTGTTCTGGTCGAATATTTGGGTGGAATGTTAATCATAATTCTCCAGAATTTACAGGTTTAAAAAATAAGGGGTGGTTATGTCACCATTTCAGAAAACAAACAAACACTTTTTTCAATGATTTAAGAAGCTTCAAAAATAAACAATTAATGGAAATCCTGGGGAAAATCGACCCCCTACCCCCCCCCCCCCCAGTGGTTAATAATATCCTTGTTTTTTGACAAAATTGGGAAGTAGCCTAATGTTTTTCAAAATGTGAGGGGACGCCAAGAGATGTAACACTAACTGCTTCTTTGACCCGTTACTGAAAAATTACCACTCGCCAGTGGCGGATCCAGGGGGGGGGGGCCCCCGGGGGCCCGGGCCCCCCCCCCCCCCCCCTTGAGAAAAAAATCATGTAAAATCACGTGATTTTTACCTTTTTGGGGGGTTGGGCCACCCCCCTGGCGCTCAAGGGGGGGGGGGTGCAAATTGAAATATTTTTGTGGATCAAAAAAAAAAAAATGCGCTCACTACCCCCCCCCCCCCCCCACTGAACGAATTTTTGGCAGGCGCGTTTTTCAAATTTTCGGGAGCAAAAAAAATTGAGGATCAAAAAAAAAAAAAATGTGCTCACTACCCCCCCCCCCCCCCCCCCCCCCCCCCCCCCCCCACTTTTCGGCCGGCGCGATTTTCAAATTTTCGGGAGTAAAAAATAAAAAAAGTTGGGCCCCCTCCCCTAAGAAATCCTGGATCCGCGCCTGCCACTCGCCCTGAATTTTAGTCATTCTCAAATATATATTTTATGACCATATTTATGCCTACCCTTCCGTTTTGTAACACACACATGAACGAAAAAGTAAAATGTATCACTTTTAATCAAGTATTCTGAGAAAAGAAATCCCTGCACAACCCCTTACCTGCAGGTCGCCCGCCCTTATAAGGCCCGTTCATTCAATCATTCATTCAAAATGGCTTATTCAAATACTTTCCTCGCGGCCGCAAGGCCCTAATTGCGAGAGTTTATGATTTCGATGTCCTTTCAAGGTGTAAGTTAAAAACATTGACAATAAAAAGGTTTTATTAGATTAACATAAATCAAACAAAAACAACCGCATGGGATGATCAAGAAATAGGCATTAAAATCAATGAGCAATGTTGAAATAATTAAGGCAGATGCGGCGCTCCCGGAGGGCAGGAGGTCGCAGTGCCCCCCCCCCCCCACACTTTTTCAAGTACCCCAAAAGTGCCCCTTTTTACCTAGGGAAAGTGCCCCTTTTAATTTGACAAGTGCCCCTATTAATTTTTTTAATTACCCCTTCTCCTTTCCACCTCTAATAAGTGTCCCTTTTATTTCGACACGTACCCCTTTTCCTTTGACAAGCTCCCATTTTTCTTTGCAATAAGTGTCCATTTTCCATTCTCATAAGTGCCTTTTTTAATCTCTAGTAAGTTCCCCTTTTCAGGTACGAGAAGTGCCCATTTTTCTCTTTGATAAGCGCCCCCTTCACCTCTGATTATTGCTCTATCCAAATCTGAAAGGTTCCCCTTTTCCTTTGTAAAAAGTGCCCCGTCCCCTTTTAATAACTACCCCTTTTTAACTCGGTTAAGCGCACCTTATATTTTCACATGTGCCCCCTTTCTTTTTTTTTAATAAGTGCCCCTTTTAAAAAAGAGCCCCTTTCCCTTCTTATAAATGCCCCTTTTCATCTATGAAAATAGTTAACTTTCATTCGCGTAAGTGGCCCTTTTCATCTCTTATAAATGCCCCTTTTATTTTGACACGTCCCCCTTTTCATTTCTCATAAATGCTCTTTTTCCTTGAGAGGAAATGATACTTATCGAAAGGGTTAAGACACTTATTAGAAAAGAAAAGCAGCACGTGTCAAAGTACAAAGGCTAATTATCAGAGGTGAAAATGGGGCACTTCTTACACCTAAAAAAGAGGCACGCACCAGGGATGAAAAGGGATTTCATAAGAATGGGAAATGGGCATTTGTCGACGGAAAAGAGGCACCCATCAGATTTTGATAGGAGCATTTATAAGAAGTGAAAAGGGGCATTTATGAACAGGGATAGGTTCCTTATTAGAAAGGAAAAAGGGGCACATTTCATGTTTTAAAGGGTAATTATCAGAGGTGAAAAGGAGCACTTATGAGAATGAAAAAGAGGCACTAATGATGAAGGGAAATGTGCATTTGTTAAAAGATAAGGGGCGCCGATCAGATTTTAATAGGGGCAATTATTGGAGGTGAATGGGGTTTTTATGAAGAGGGGAGAAGTGGCTCTTATTAGAAAAAGAGGCACATGTTAAAATAAACGGGGCACTAATCAAAGATGAAAAGGGGTAATTATGACAATGGGAAGGGGCACTTATAAGAAGGAAAAAGAGCATTTATTAGGAATGACAAGGGGGACGTGTTAAAATAAAGGGGCCATTTATTTAAGATGAAAAGAGCACTTATAAGGAGGGGAAGGGGCACTTGTCAAAGTAAAACGAGTATCTCTCGGAATTGAATAGGGTCATTTACAAAATATGAAAAGGGGCATTTATGAAAATGAAAAGGAACTATTTTCATTGATGAAAAGGGGCATTTAAGAGAAGGGAAAAGGCCTCTTTTTAAATGGGGGCACTTATCATAAGGAAAAGGGGCACTTATTAAAAAGGAAACGGGGCACTGCATGTGAGCATATAAGGTGCGCTTATCCGAGTTAAAAAGGGGTAGTTATTAAAAGGGGAAGGGGCACTTTTAAAAAAGGAAAAGGGGATCCTCTCAGATTTGAATAGTGCAATTATCAGAGGTAAACGGGGCGCTTTCTTGTACCTGAAAAGGGGAACTTACTAGAGATTAAAAAAGGCACTTACTATTGAGAATGGAAAATGGACACTTTATTGTAAAGGAAAATGGGAACCTGTCAAAGGAAAAGGGGTACGTGTCAAAATAAAAGGGGCACGTGTCAAAATAAAAGGGGCACTCATCATAGGTGGAAAGGGGAAGGTTCACTTTTACAAATTAATAGGGGCACTTGTCAAAGTAAAAGGGGGACTTTTCCTATGTAAAAAGGGGCACTTCTTACAAAGTTAAAGGTGCACTTTTCCTATGTAAAAGGGGGCACTTTGGGGGGACCTGAAAAAGTGGGGCACCGTGCCCCCCTGCCCCCGAGAGCGCCGCCTCTGACACGGAACAACAATTTCTGATTATAAACCAGAACTGCACATTGATTTTCCATGATTTAAGCGATTTGTTATCTTCTGCGCATGATATAGATTAACATGTGTAAAATCACTATCTTGATTCTGTCCCGGCTTATTGGGGGTAACCCTCATGAGATCATAGTTGCATCGATATAGGCGCTATATAAAAGCGGAATATTATTTAAGTAATACGAAATAAAAAATAATAATAATAAAACGACGTTTATAAAGTCTAACAAAATACAATGAAAAAAAAGTATATATTAAACCTACAAATTACAATGCATACTTTTCAATTCAATTTCAATTTATTTATTTCCAACAAAACATTACAAATCAATCATTATAAACATTTACAACAAAATGTAGACATACATATTGGAAACAGAGGGGTCCACTAAAAATCAATTAAGTTGTACAAGTGTGAACACCTCAACTAGTTAGGAATGAGTGGGTGTCGATACTTTGAAGGGATTTAGACAAATTCAAGCTCCAAAATGTATTACCCTAGCCGCCATGAAGCAATTTTACTTTTTATAATTCAGAGCAATAGAAATATTATAAGTTATATCACTGCAAAATAATTACATGAGTAACTTTCTTCTCAGGGGTAAAAATCGATCTCCCATATCTGCCCACATCCCATTGCTGTCAATTTTAAGATATTTTCCCCTAAAAAACAGCCAGGCAAATTGCTGTCTTCCTTTTTCTATGATCACTTTAAGATCAGTCAAATCTTCCTTCTTGATCACTACTCATCTCCTATTTAAAAAAAAAATATATAATGATATTGATAATAATCAATAATACCACTAGGCCTACTAGTCTAGCTACTACTAATTATAATAACAATTGTAAGAATAAGCCAAAAAGAAGAAGAAGAACAAGAAGAAGTAGAAGAAAAAGTAGAAGAAAAAGTAGAAGAAGAAGAACTAGAAGAAGAAGAACTAGAAGAAGAAGAAGAAGAAGAAGAAGAGGAAGAGCTACAAGAGGGAAAAGGCCATTGACCAGTACAGTAAGCAAAGTATATTTTTTATTAGATCCAATCAGAGGAAGTCTCTCATTGATCGTTTCCGCCCTGCTGATTAACATAAAATTTAGTCCAATGAAAACGGTCGTACATTAACCGTGCACATTCAACTCTTCAGCTCTAGTCAGGGAATCCAAAATGGCGGAATACACTGCGGTTACGGACTGCTTGTAAATTCGTAAAACAACAAGTAATATCAACTAATAAAGTTTTCATCGCTGGAAACTGTACAAGCTGTGTAAAATTTGAAGCTGCCTTGAAAATGGTCATTCAAGAGCCCGTACAGGTATCTATTATTCCTCACGTTAATGTTCTTCTTCCCGTGTCGTGGACTTTTTGTGTGAATGAATGAATGAATGATGACTTGTCGAGCTGTCATGAGAATGAATGGAACATTTTTGACTGTGTCTGTGGCTTGTCTTGTGTTGACGTTGTACAGTACTTGTTGTAGCTGTATGGAAATTAGTGGACTTGGTAGGAAATTGTCTGTGATAGCATATGAATATAATGCTGGAGAGAGCTCAGCGTGGTCAGTGGAGGGTTGTGTGTAGGCAGTAGTAGTAGTACGGCTACGCGGACAATCTATCTAGCCATGCCACCAGCCCACCACTTTTGCCTCGCCCTCGCCCTTGACTTTGTCTTTACTATTTTGGATTTAATGAAATATATCAATAAATTGTATTGTAATGATGCATCAGGCATCATAATGACATAAATATTTGTCCTTTATTTATTGTCTAACAATTAACAAATAACAAGTCAACATGTTGTAAGAAGAAGAAGAAAAGAAAACAAACAATGGTTTATAAACAGTTAAAATCAGTAGAGGCACTGGTCCGAGAATAAGGATGGTTGTTTCTTATTTCAGATCTGCGCATTGGCAATGTGAAAAACGGATTCCGCGATGATGCTCCTTGATGCATTTCATGGTGAACTGGGAATACGTTTTTTCGCATCGCCAGCGCCCCACACCCTCAGAGCGCCGAAAAATAAAAAGGATCGTCTGCAAAAATTGCGGACGATCCTTTTTTTTAGGATGCGGTTTGTACGCGTTTACGAGGATATATCTCGTTTATGTGGACGTCTGGACGATCCTCATTCTCAGACCAGCGCCCCTACTGATGAAATAATGACTTTATTGTGTATGAACATTTTTAAATTACTGTTTCAAATCAACCATCTGGAATCGCAACCTGTCTGGACACACAACTTCTGTTCTGGGTATAAAATGTGATAGCCGTTAACATGCAAAGCCAAAGTAAATAAAATGCGTCTCTTATACATACTAGTAATCACAAATGACAGGCCTTTCCTTTGGCTTGCATGACCAGTCAATTATGGACGAGTCGAGTAATTTATTTTTAGACAGTTGACCAGGCCAGTCCAGTGGCTTTTCCTGACATGCAGCAACAACAAAAAGTGCCATATTATTGTACGTACAACCTGTTTGATGGGGTGTTGGGGTCCAGACACTTTAACAAACGTAAATCCTTCTTTTTTTTGCCTTCATTTTGAACAACAACAAAAATAGCACTTGACCATACTCTCATACCCCGAGAGGGGATCAAAGAGTCAATGAAATTCTAAAAATTTTACAAAATCTTGTGAATATATTTTGTTTATATTGTCCAAAATAAGTCTAGAAGATTAATGAGATATTGCTTGTAAATTTCTTCAAATGGCTGTTTTAAATCAATTGTCCGAACACAATATCTGGGTGTACTAGCAGTAGCAGTAGAGGTGCACAGCCAATATGTAGTAGGCCTATGGGAGACTAGAGAGTAGAGTACATGTAACTGTATCTTACGAAGTTTCCCATTTGCCTTGTACTAAAAACTTCATATTCATATTTTCCCTTAAGAAAATGTTCAATCATACATTCATTATTGCAAAATTTCTCTTTATGCAACCCCTGTATTTAATAAACAAATCTATTCAGTCATCAAGTAAGAAAATGGAAGTTTCTGAAATTTTCTGAACAGAGCAAATGAGAGAGGAGCTCACAAGATACGTTGATGTGGTGCCATGTTGTGTTTTACTGATGACAACTTTAATAAAAATTTTTGACTTTCCTATTTTTAATTGGATATTGCTCAAACTTTCATTAATGTTTCTCTCATTTCATTTGTCTGCTTTTTCTTAAACTAACTTCATATCAGGGTAGACTTTCCCTTTAATCTTTGTAAATCACCAGATATTTATTTTAGATGACAAGAAAGAGATTTAAACAGGAAAATTTTGTTATCCATTTTACATCTTGGTCCTGACTCCTGACTTTAACAAAAAAAAAGAAGAGGAAAACATACAACAGTGGTTATTTTTAGTCAGTGCCATAAAGATTGTTCTGCTACAATGTACATGTAGTACAAAAATGTAATTTAAAGGTTAATGTGTACATTTTATTTTCAGGCGGCCATCTGGCAGTGCTTGAACCACTATGCTTACCAAGATGCCACCTTCCTGGCAGAGCGGCTCTATGCTGAAGGTAAGTTCTTTGTTATTTATAAAGTTGATGTAATTTATGGTTTTGCAGTCAGTTTTGCTCCAGTAGTTGCTATGCTTTAAATTGTATGGTTTTCAAGTGTAAGATGTTTTTTCCTTTTCTTTTTTTTCTCCCTATTTCCTTTGTTTAAAGATTGAAAATGGGGTGGTAATGAATGACTTGGTACAGATGTTGTACAGTTGTACTGTACAGAAAGTTTGTTGTTGTGAAGAGAACAAAACAAATTGTCTAAGTTAACAGTGGGCATATGTTTGTGGGTCTACACTTTTGTCCTAAAACCACATTTGGAAAATTTGTGTTTGTTCTGTGGCCAGAAGTCATGCAAGTTACATGTACTGTACATGTATATATACAAAGTCAAATTGGTCTGAAATTGCGTCTCTTTCTAAGTACAGTCAAGAAATGAACAATTTTGACAATACCGACATTCTTTGTCGTTTCTATTTTTATAAAAGATTATTTCACTGTAAATGTACTGTACATGTACATGTACATGTACACATTGCATTTTTATCACTGTAATTGATGCTCATTTCAACAACTTCATTTACATTAGTGACTGAAATACAGAGTTTTGTGCCCAAGAATTCCTTTCCTCATTACATGTGCCATAATCTGTTTTGTTTAGTTGGGTCTGATGAGGGGCTGTTCCTACTTGCCACCTGTTACTACCGATCAGGCCAGCCAATGAGTGCCTACACCTTGCTACAAACCAAAGGCTGTCCCACTCCGGATTGCAGGTTCCTAATGGCGAGATGCTGCCTGGATCTTGAAAAGTATGAATCTTTATTATGATTATGAGGATGAGGATGATGATGATGATGTTGACGACGACAATGATGATGATGATGGTGGTGGTGGTGTTGATGATGATGATGTTGACGACGATGACGGTGGTGGTGATGATGATGATGATGATGAGGACGATGATGATAATTAGGTGGATGGTGATAACGAGGATGATGATAATGAGGAGGATCTTGTATTAAATTGGATGCAAAAACTTTCAAGAAATCAACTTGAGGGGTCTTTAAAGAGTACTCGCATTGCTAATATAAAAACGGGTTGGATTGTGTACTATGGCATTGTATCATTCAAGCATGTGTCAAGAAAGCAATGGAGATAAACTGCCTTATCAAAGGAGATAAAAGGACATTGAAGTTCCATGCTGGAAATGAATCATCTGCCTTTGTGTCTCGAGTGTCACAAGCAAGCTACATGTAACTGCAACACCTCTGCATGGCAAAAATAAAACATTGGTGCCATGACTGGTATCCAAACCCATCCCAACTTATGCACTTGACCTCATACCTCATGTTTCTTTAATTGCAGACAGCATTCTTTTCATCGAATAAGCTGAAATTTTGCCAAGAGAATGTATTCAATTGTATCAGTCAGCTTCTAACAAAGTCCATTATTTTTCTTGTTTTAGGCTAGCGGACTGTGAAACTGCACTATCAGGATCATCAATACTGAAACCCAACACATGCGATGACATTGTAAATGACTTTAAAGACTCGGCACCCTATGCATTATCAGTACTAGGAAAGTTGTGCAGGTAAGACCTAATGGGACATCATACTTGTATTTTCTGTTAGTTGATCGTTCGTTCGTGTCTCCTTCGATCAATATTAATGTAAAGTTCCTAAATTAAATTAAATTAAATTAAGTTCTGCCATCGCCCGATGGCTGTCTCATTTACAAGGGCCAAGTCTTCATCTGTGCAACCGTTCCGCTGCACTGCAAGATGTGGTCCATCGTCTGAGTCTCTCCGCAGTCGCAGATGATGATGATGAGTTGATGATATCGTATCATGGCTTTGACTTCCTCTACAATTAATATCATTGTAGAGGAAGCATGATTACTTTCGATGTAGAATGAGATTGTGCCTTCTGTTTAAAAAAATAAAAAAAATAAAATAAAAATAAATAGATATTGCACAAATACAAAGTACATTGATTTTCCATGCCTTCCATAACTGCATTTGTATTGTATGCCTATACTAGCAAATTACTGGTACTTGTAAATACATGCAATATGTTTACCTTATTCACTTACGTTCCCTTACTGTATACGTTCTAATGCATGTTTATCAGTGTGTCAATATACTAAGTAGTAAATAGATGAATCAGTTGGGGAAAAGACAGATTGTTATTTGTCTTGTTGGATAGTGTATATAAATATATATTTTGGATAGTGTGATTTGTTATACATGAAGTTGCCTTTGAAGTTGTTTCCTCCCTCTTTTATTGCAGTGAAACGGAAAGGATATCAAAATCGATTGAGGCACACAAGCTTGCCATGAAGCACAATCCCTTCCTCTGGAGTTCCTTTGAAGCCATCTGTGATCTAGGTAATAACACACTCCTTAATTCTTGCCTCCATTTGGCATGCAGAGATGCCAACCGTTACGGTTTCGCCGTATTTGTTACGGTTTTAATGCTCTTGTTATGGTGTTACGGTAAACAATCAAAAGGTTACGGGGAAACGATAAATAAAAGTACATTATAGCGAATGCCGCCTTATCACATAGCCTCCGTACACTGTGCTGCATGTCGCACGCATTTACTCATAAGTTCACTGAATTTGACTACACTGGATAGGCACTTTCGCGCACATGGTCCGTCCACCGCCATCTTGTTTAATTGTGAAACAACACGGCCGCCGTCAATTCTGCTACGTGCGGTCGTGCGTTTTGGGGGGAGCATGGTGGTGGATGATCATGCGCGCGGCGCCCGCAATACCCATTCAAAGTATAGTAGCGAAGACTTCAGTGATTCAGCGGGCGCATTGCAAGTGTGGTATACGGTGTGTTGTTGTTCATGAACGCCGGGCCTAGCGGCCTGGGCTGGTGTGTCTGTGGTAGTGGTGAGTGTACGTATGTGTGTGTAGAATACGAGTTCTGCCATTTGACTGTGGATTCAAATTTGTGGTTCAACGCTTGAACGAGGTGTTTTCTTCCTGAATATTATCATGGATTCATTCAAAAGAGCGAGTACCCGAGGAGGAGATCCTTTGACTGCAAACCGATTTTTAAAAACGTTTTCATGCACATCTTTATTTTTGACTTAAAAATGGTAGGTTTGAAATGCAGTAAGAGTGATTGGGTGTTTGACGTTTCGCGCGAAAATTATGCTGCAGTGTCTTGCGTTCCGGAAAGACCCCCATTCGTTACGGACAAATTTGGTAAATGTTACTGACAGCCCTCCTATAGGGTTGGCATCTCTGGGCATGGCCAGCCATTTAGGGGCCTTGCCATCATCAAGGGGGGGGGGGGGGTGGGGGTGGAAGCACCAATCTTACTCAATGAATGTGCTCTCCCTCTCTTTCATTTTCTTTATTTTTCTTATCATTTTTTCTGTTTTGATAATTCACTGCTGGCCACTTCTATCTATGCATTTTATTTCACTTGCATATGATTTTCGTGGTTCAGTAACCAAAGATGTGATATGATTAAAACTGGTTGCACCCACAAAATGGCTCAATAAAAATTAATGATTATTGATGCTGAGAAATGTAATGATTTTCACTATTCTTTGGAATTTCTTATGACTCCACTCCCCCCCTCCTTTTTTTTTACCCTGAAATTATTGTTTCCTTCATCTTGTAATTCAGGTAATTGGATTCAGTGTGGATGTGGAGTTAGCACTACCAAACATAGCTTTAAATAAAATTTTCTGTACATCCAATTTCCAAGAGAGATGAAAAACATATTTTGTGATCAATACTTTCCATTATTACAGTGTGAATTTTTGTCCTGTTTTTCTAATTATATTCTAAAAATCAATTTTTTTTTCCAAACCCAGGTGAGAAGGTCGATCCCGAGAAGACGTTTCACTTTGCTTCCACGCCAACTGTCACCACCACGCCCAGTCAGCAAGACTCCTACCCTATCCTAGACACAGAGAACATGGGCGGGCCTGGCCACCTCAACACTTCTGCACCTGACGTAACACCAGTACCATCAGAAACACCTCAGGTAGATACTACACGCTTCCTAGCAGGAATTTGTATACCATTGGCATACATATACCTGCCAAACTTCCAAATAATCTGGAATATTCTGATCTTCTGGATTTTTAGGACCTAAAGATTTGACAAAATATATTGCCATAGGGCGGGATTAATTTTCTTCGCCTATACGTTTGCATTTTCATGAAGGTTCTCGAAAGACCCACAGTATTCTGAAGTAATGGCTTTTGTCATGAGTTCTATTAAAGCACAATACTTCCTTCACTTTGTTTCATGGGATGTATTTAAAAGAGTGTGTTAAAAAGACTTGTTAGAAGCAAATGAAACTTAATGATTTAAATGTATTTATGTGGAAATAATCCAAGGCTTCCTCTCTCTCACAAAGGACCAACTGATAACCCAACTCTCTGGTATCAGACCTCTACCGCTGACCACACCCGATTTCAACAGTGACCCGGGCGTTACCCCCGACACCATGATTACACCCTTTACCGTGCCCAGTGCGCCCCTGTCTTCAAGGCAATCCCAAGCCAGGATAGGCAGAATGCACCTCACCTCGCCCTTAACGTCACCCTATAGTCCTCTAACGCCGAGGTACGTATTGATCTGAACGACTTGCACATTACTCTTCCCATGGCAGAGTTTTGCTTTCCAGTTATGTTCCCTTGTACAGTTAACAACTAAATTACCAAGTTTTGTTATTTTTAAGTATGTGTAAAATAGATTTGTCCTGATTGATGTTTCTTGAGAATGTGACATATAAAAGCCCATCGTACTAGTTTGGCCAGGGGGATTAGACCTCCCTGCAAGGTCACTGACAGGTGGTTATCTCATCAAATCAGCTTTCAATTAACATATGAAAAAGAGGATCATGGGGAACCAACAGGCACCGATTTAGGCATTGTTTGCTATATAGAGGGCGCAAGTAGCTATAAGTAGTGCAGTTGGGCTTTATAGCTTACACCTAAACGTAATTCAGCAAAGGCCCTAATTGAACCAGGCCACCTTTCATTCCTGAGTAATGAAAAATACACAAAACATCAAATTTACAAGGGGTACGAGTGATTTAGTTGTTAACTGTACATGGACTTTTTTTTTCTTTCTCTATGACTATCAGATTGAAATAAAAATTCCATATTGTATAGATGAGATTAAAGGAAGGAAGATGTTGTTCATTTACTATTCCTATGTTTATATACATATTTGTATCATTCTTCATTTGAGAGTTAGTAAGCGTTGCATTAATTTGTTTCATGGTTAATGCAAGAACGCCCTTCTGTGTAAATTCCCTGTTAATTTATACTGTATTGTTTCTTTGCTGTTGCAGACAGGAATAATTTTATGTGGAAATTGAAGAAAAAGTATATCCAAGAGTATGTAGCTATACATGTATGTTTCAAATGTATTTTGATGAGCAAATTATCAAATTAGAGAAAACATCGTCAATTAGCATACCATTATGATATACATGTATTTCAGCAATTTTACTAGATTGGTCAGATGTTTTGATGTACAATGTATGTGCCTTTTATACCTAGATCTATACTTCTTCACACCATCAACTAAATTTCCCTTTTCATACCCCCCCCCCCCCCCCCCCCCCCTCCCTCCAGCTTTGGTATTTTACCTCTAGACACACCGAGCCCTACTCCTGGCAATCCAACATCATTTACAGGAGACGGCAATCTAGCTGATGCAAAGGCACCTATCAGAAGAGTGAGTGTCATACATAACTTCACATTGTTCTTGTTTTATACAGTGAAACCTTTCTATAAAGACCACCCAAAGGAAACAAGAAAAATGGGCTTTATGTATAGGTTCCTTTTCAATGAGAAACTTTTTTCAAGGGAAACAAAAATTGTGGTCTCTGTAGACAGGTGGTCACTAGAGCAGGTTTGACTGTACACAGAAAGATAATATTCATAATGGTACTATATTCAGTTTTCAAGGTAAACTGAATAAAGTTGAATTGTTACATCTAATATATTTATCGATTGGAAAATCATGCATTCTTGAAAGTTTCAGGCAAAATGGTTATGATATTATATATTTGTTGATATAGAAAATGGCCTCTTGAAGACCAGAATAATACAATTTTGTGGGGTTTTTAGTAGTATTTTGCTCTTTATTTATTGAATCATGCATCGTTACATTTACTGAATTGCACATGGATATACATTGTATTTTAAAAACAAGTGTACAATTCAAAACAGTATCATTTACAAAATTAGAAGTACACATATATGTCACATGTTTATCCTTAATTTTGTACCAAATGTAAAATAAAGCAAAAATATGAACAAGAAGGAAATGGGGAATATGTACCTAAACAAAATATGAAAGTGAGGAAGAGAGAAGGGAAAGATGTAGAGAAAAGAGGTTAAAAAAGGAAATAGAGAGAGAGAGAGAGAGAGAGAGAGAGAGAGAGAGAGAGAGGGGGAGCAGGAGGAGAGGGGGAAGGAAAGTGAGAAAAAGAGAGATGATAAGAGACAGAGAGATATAGTCAACAACAAAAAGAGCAGGAAAAGACAGAGAGATGGAGAAAGAGAGAAAACGAAAGAGAGAGACAAGAGGTAAAGAAGGGGAAGAGAGAAAGGGGGATCTTGCCAACAATTAAAAATGACATTGTCTATGCACTCATCCTTTCTAATAGGGCACAACAAGGAGAGGCCCACAGGGTATCAAGCCGCCCGTATTCAGCCAATCAGGGAACAGCAGCAACACCAAAGACCCCGCCCTCACCTCATTACACCAAAGCCCCGCCCCTGCTGGGTAAGTACAGGCAAATATGTGGAAACATCCTACAATGCTTGTAAATGATCTTCTTATGTTTATCAGATATCTGAATTTCCATAGAAATTATTTACTTTCTATGATGAAACATTTCCTGATACATTAGAAAATCTGTGTACTTGCACGTTTGTCATTTGTTTGTTCATTTCTTTATCTATTTATTTCATTCTTTCTTCCCCTCCCCCCTTTTCTCCACTCTTTTTTAGTACAGACATTATAAAGTAAAACACAGAAATACATGGTTTTCCTTCAGTAGATGTTTTCAGTATGTTGTTTTCTTAAGTACAGGTTTCAATGGAATATACTGTTCAATGGAAACTAAGATTATGGTCATTCCATATGGATGGTTACTTAAAGCTTATCTGCCATAGTTTACAGGAGGGATTAGACTGCCCTGCAAGGTCACTGGACAGGTGGTTATCTCATCAACTCAGCTCTCAGTTAACATAAGAAAAAGAGGATCATGGGGGACCAATGGTCACCGATTAGGCATTGTTTGTTATATAGAGGGCGCAAGTAGCTACAAGTAGTGCAGTGGGCCTTTAAAAGCAGGTTTCATTCTTCAGTATTTAAATGAAAAGTAAAGTAAAGCTGATTTGACCTTACAAGCTACAAAGAGAAATCGTGCAGATTGTTCCCCTTCTTGAGTGCATAGAAATAGGCTGAAACATGTGCTTCTAAGTGCAATCAAGATCCATGCATGATGCACTCTTCTAACAATATGGTATTTGAATGAATAATGTACCCAACTTCTCTTTGCCATGTAGATCTCCAGTACAACTACTCTTTCCATCAGCTCATGGGGTGAGAAGGAGTTCCCGTCTCTTCAGCAATGCTAACTCAGTTAAGGTAAGTCTATCTGATCATAGCAGTTAATCAAACTGCTGTCTAGTTTTGTGCAAATCCTATTACTATATGTACAGGTACTATGGTGTAAAATTCATCTTGGAAAGTGAAAATGGAGCACCGGGGTATGGTAGTTCATTCCCTTGACTTTCAATCTCAAGGTTAAGCCATAATTCTCAAAATTCTCAAACCACAAAGATATTTATGGTTTTCTTTGAAGGTGTCAATGTGCGACACCCTCTAACAGTAAATTCTCTCAACTATTTTTGAATTTCCCAACCGTTTTTCCGTGAAAATAAGACATACAACAGGCTTTAAAAAATATTTTGACACTTAATTGTCAGGAATGGTATACAGATCCAATTCATTGCTTTATGAGGATTAACATTCACCTGAAATGTAATTAGATTGTAATAATAAAGTTGGGACAATTCAGGAATCGATTAGATCAGTTTTTCCCAATTTTTATCATTAATAATTGTCTGTTTTCAATCAAACTTTCAGATTATCTTTAAATGTACATCTACATTGAAGTCACTACCTTAGCACCATTTTCTTTTATCTGAACAATGTTACCAAGTCCCTTTAATAGGCAATGTATTTCATCCACATATATTTCTCTCTACCCAAGTGTAGAAGTGGTTAAACTACTAGGATAACATTTTGCAATGATATTTGCATTGATCATGATGGCTCTTGATGCTATAAAAGTCTTGGTAAAGATTTCCAAAAACCCAAAGGAACATGTTTGTCACGTTATGTATATAGTGTGTTATCGCATCATATAAGCTTACTAGCTTGGTTTTTACTGGCACTGGACTAAGCATATTTTACTGTAAATTAACAAGTGCTTTGTCCACACACCATTCCAGCCATCCGTGACACTTCTTGTAGTTACTCGCCTCACCTACATGATCCCAGTTTAGCCTCCTGAGTGAGCTGCCAAAGGGATAACCCAACTGAGTACCAAGTCATTTGTCTTGATTTGTATTTTTAATTTCAATAATTTTTCACAATTTTCCTCTTTCTTTCCTCTTGACAGGAAAACACAAGTGCAACTACCAAGACCACCACAAATAGAACAAAAACGGGTGTGAGTAAAGTGCAGAAGGGTAAGACGAGAGCAAGAACAACAAGAAGTTCTACAATTACAAAACCACCGGACCTGGACGATATAACCAAGCTAGAAAATCAGAAATCCAATGAACTCAATAAAGCCAATAATGCAGTTGCCAATCTGCAGCTCCATATCGCCGACATGCAGAAGTCATCAGCAGGTATGTATTAAGGCTGTGCACAGCAGTGTAATGAGGTACCCGAGTACACTCCCAGGCTTAAAAGCGAATACTCGAGTATTCGGACGCCAAGTTTTTTAATAATTTTTTTGAATTTTTTGATTTTTTTTTTTTTTGATTTTTGATTTTTGATTTTTTTTTTGCCACCACCATACCACTGGAGCAATATCCCAGGTCCGTCGCCGAAAACGCATGCAATTTTACTTCGAGTTGCAGTTGAAGGCGCAGATTTAATGATAATAATAACAGTGAACAATGCTGTTTTAAAAACCAAAGATGGCAGAATAATCCATTTTCAACCGGACAGTGCCAGGTGACCGGGAATTTTTTTTTTTTTTTTTGCGGACGAATATTCGAGTACGAAAAATCGTGCTCGAGTAGTCGTCAACATTGCGGATACTCGAGCATTTGACTACTCGTCGCAGCCCTAGTATGTATGAATTAATTTGATGAAAAATTGGCTCCTAATTGATATATACATGTAGTGTATATGCTTCATATGAAGATATAGGAAGGTGTGATGCTCCTCAATTAGATATCTTTGCAAGTATGTGCATTACTTGTGATATATAATACTCAATTGTAGATAAGGGACTTTCAATGGTAAGAGACTCTCAATTTTTTTTAAAGTACACTGTATTCATATGACTGCATAAAACTAACAATAAACTCCACAAAATGTTAAGCGGGTATACATTTTGAATATCAATTAAATCTCGTTGTATACATGTACATGTTTAGAGTAGATGATTTTAGATATTGTAGTTATGAATTGTCTTCCCTAAAGTAAGCTGCAGACAATGATAAAATAGTTAGTTTGATGTATCGTGAAGCAAAAGTAATCAGGGAGGAAAGTTCAATTGAAGAACTTCAAAATTCCACATAGTTTTGTTTAAAATCACTGGTCATGATGTGCTGTTATTTCTTAAGATTCTGTTGTAAATTTATGTTAAGTATGTTAAAAAAACAATATATAATGCATCTCCTTGCGTCATCCTTTGATAAGAAACACTTTATTTCGAAAAATACAACTAGCAGCTCACGTTGAAAGTAATAATAACTCCTTTTCTCTGTGTGCAGAAGGGCTTCTTCGCTTACTACGAGATGTTGGCAAAGCCTACCAGGCGCTAAGCCGGTATGATCTAAAGAAAGCTGTGGAGCTCTTCAAATCCCTTCCACCTCAACACTACAACACAGCATGGGTGCTATGTCAGGTTGGCAAGGCGTTGTTTGAGATGGCTCAGTATCACAAGGTACATGAATACTATTTTGTTTAGTCAGTAAATACTTTCATTAATTATATGACACAGCAAAACTGTGATAATTTTTGGTGATGACGTACAGTGCAATACGCTTATCCTTTCTGTATCTTATAACACAGTGCTCAGTGAATTTGTGCAAGCCGTTGCCATGCATTTATCCTTTAAAAAAAAACATGGCAACTTTTTTGCGGTGGTTTACTGTGCCATATCTGAACAGACCCTAATGCCTCAGTCACACCTTTGCGTATTTCGCTTGCTTTTTGCTGCGTATTCATGGCAAGCCGTTTTAACATTTATTCCTATTTATTTATATCAAGAGATGATTTTCTGTTGTAAAGCAATGGTAATTCTTGATGTCAAGAAATAGGAATAAATGTTAAAACGGCTTACCATAAATACGCAGCAATATGCAAGCCAAATGCGCAATGGTGTGACTGAGACATCAGAGACCTTGTTTGGAGCTTAACCTCATGCAATCTGCCACATTCATAATTGCTTTTATTTTTTTCTGGTTTACCTTTCAGGCGGAGGCAATATTTGCAGAAGTGCGGAGACTAGAGCCCCACCACCTAGGTTACATGGAGATCTACTCCACGACATTATGGCACTTACAGAAGGAGACTGCGCTCTCCGCCCTTGCACAGGATCTCACAGACTTAAATCCAGAATCTCCTCAGGTAAGGCGCAATTCTCGCTACCCCAAATAGCGATTCTGCCGAGATCCGGGGAAAATCCTGAAAACGCCCATTGCATTATGGGATAGCTTTTCGACATCACAGCTTCCTGTGCAGGCGTTCGTGATCACAACCCTCTCTTTCACGGTAGAGTTTAACGGCCTTTTGTGCTAAAGTCACTAATTCTGCCCGAAGCTTTCCATTGCATATTATAATCTGTACAAATTACACTGATTGGCATCGATTTTAGCGTGCGTGAAAACTCTGCACAGCGAACACAGGCGCTAGCGCCAGTGGGATGGGACTCTATACCGGAAGTTGCAGTGACGACCCGAGAGAGTGAAAATTACCTCGTCTCGCGAATTTCGAGATTTTCGTACCTATTTAGGGTAGCGAGAATTGTATATCAGGGGGATGTTTTACAAAACTTGTCATCAGTGACAAATGACAGTTGTTGTTATAAGCTACTGAAATCCTTGCTTCTGATTGGTTATCAGCAGATTTGTCACTGATATTTGTCATTTGTCATTGAAAAAAGGCTTTGTGAAACGGCTTCCAGGTGATCCAACATTTGTTGTGGCGACATTTACTCTGGAGCTAAGTTCTTCTAGTTCATCAAAGCTGAAGGGTTAGGATTGGGATTACTATTGGGTGATATATTTAGGTTTAGGGTTGCAGATAAGTATGGTGTTTTGTATAGGGTTAGAATTAGGAATTTGAGTTATGTATGAACAGGTGGGCGTGGAATGTCCAATGAGTCTGTGTTTTAAGTATTTGATGTTTTATGTATCATAAATTTATCATGTATTCATAATAGTATTCATAATTGCTTTTATAAATACAAAAAAATGTTTTGATGTTGATTGTTAGTCATGAGGCTATTGTTGGTCCTGTCTTCATTTTGTGAGATTCTTAATGCTACATATATGCTTTGATTATGCTTTATTTTTGTTTTATTCAGGCCTGGTGTGCAGCTGGAAACTGCTTCAGTTTACAGAAGGAACATGACTCTGCTATCAAGTTTTTCCAAAGAGCAATACAGGTAGGTCACCAAGCAATATTATTCTTACAGTGGATTTGGATCAAGAAAATATTTAGAGTAATATTTGTTGACACATTATATAAACCTTGACCCATGATCAGAGTCTGTTGAACCTCTAAGTTACTCCCCCCTCATGGTCCAATATTTCAATTATTGGAAAAAATAACATTGCGCATTTCCATAAGTATTGAAGATGCTACCAAACACCCAGGCTAAACAGTGGATATGCACAGCAAGATGTGTGTAGCGAAATAATTCATTTAGACAAGCTTTAGAGTGAATTTCTCCCGCAGAGAAGAGAATATTCGAGATGTGTCCTAGAAGATTGATTTTCTACTTTCACCAATCTGAATTATTACCTCTTTACTTTCACTTTTTTACAAAATATCCAGCCGCCTATTTTTACTATTTCACTTTCTAGATAAATTTTTTTTCTTCTTTGAAGTAGTGTAGCTTGCAGCGTATTATGGCCAATACACCAGTTTATGGTTACAACAGTGCACATGCGCAGACATGGGCGCCATTTTAATTTACAAGTAAACAAACCTTTGACCTCTAGAGGTCAGTGGTTTACGTGTAATCAAGAAAGCGCCTATGCAAATATGATGTGAGCGCACAGCACAGGCAGTGCTCTGAAAACATTACCGTAAACTGGTGTATACAGTAGGAGAAGGACATTGTTATTTTTTTTTATTTTTTATTTATTTTTTGTTGTTGAGGGGACAGCCTTTCCGTGCTCATGATATACAATTAGTGTGCAACATGTGGTACTTCTAAACACCAGCTACTATTTGAAACTTAATCCTGTTGATTATTTTCTGTCCATGTTCCCAGGTGGATCCCAAGTTTGCCTATGCGTACACGTTATTGGGTCACGAGTACGTAGCTACAGAGGAACTAGACAGAGCCATGGCCTGCTTCAGAAATGCTATAAGGATAAGCCCTAGACATTATAATGCATGGTAAGCGGTAGAATTATTGATGTATTAATAACAATGATAAATACTTGGTTCTTTTATAACGCATATCAATTGAGGATCTACACTTTCGAAGAGCTTTGGAATCCTCAGCTTTAGCTTTGACAACCATTCATAACATACCATGCATTTCAAAGAATGGATCCTTCCAGATACCCACTAACTACACCAGGGTAGAGAGTGGCAAATGTAGGTAAATTCTTGCATAGGTCATTAGTGTCTCTGCTAGGGCTCAAACCTATAACCTTCACATCCCCTCAAGCCTTAACTTTGACACCAAGAAAGGACGCGATATAATCAATATTTTAGGACAACACTTGGTTTGCTGAATTTTTTTGTTCCTCACTCTTTATAATATGTGATTTGGTGAGTTTATGGCTGGCACTTTGATTTATTTCTGCTACAGTTATAATGCCAAGGCTTTACCAGTCAGTATGTTTTTATACAAATGTAATCATTCATCTTACATTAACGCATCTCATGAATCTGTACTAAAACTGTGGCTTGCCATTCATTTGAGTAACTTCAATCAATTGAAGTTTTTTAGGCCACTCATTCATGTTGTTATACCTCCTAAGCATGCCATCCAAAAAGTAATATTCATGATTTCATTTTTGTTTTGTTCGTCAGGTACGGTACTGGTATGATCTACTATAAGCAGGAGAAGTTTGCCCTTGCCGAGATGCATTACTGTAAAGCACTTGCCATCAACCCCCAGAGCTCTGTATTACTGGTTCATATCAGTGTTGTAAGTATCATTTACTTTGATTTTGTTTTCATTGAAGCTTTCAATTTTTATATGAAGGATGTCATCTGCTATCAAAACTGTATTGAAGCATGCTTAACCCTAATAAGGCCGGGGGGGGGGGGGGCCATTATGGCCCCCCCCTCCACGATTTTTCTGATTGTTCGAGAACGCATATGGATGGCGCCTCGCCGCTCGCTGAATTTTTTCTTTAGAGTCTTGCGCATCTTTAAAAAAAAAAAAAAAAAAAAATCAGACCTATAGTTACAAGGTCACGTGACCTTTTGTCTTTGCATGTCAGCCCGAATGTCAGCCCGAAAATCGCTCATTTTTGTGATTTGTGTACAAAACATATGGAAATGTCATTTTTCCTAAAAATAGATCAAACATTGGTTATTGGGTCTTGTTTAAAGTTTAGGTGGTTGTTTTGGGAGTCAAAATAGTTGAATTGTAGGAAGAAATGAAAAAAAAAAAAAACAATAACATAAATAAGTTTAAAAAACAATGAAATACATAAGAAATTATCAAAACAAGAGATAACATAAGGAATAAGCTGGCTCTTCCAATTTTTTTTGTCGTATTATTGTTCCAAATGGTCTAATGAATATATGTAGTGAAAAAGAATGCTTAAATATGAATAATATAGGATTTATGGGTAAAAATGTGATTTTATGACGTTATTTGCATAAATTACCATAAATATGCAAATGAGGGATTTTTTTCAAAAAATTGAAATTATCATATTGTTCTATACACTTCACTTGACATGCGTGCAAATTTTCGCGGAGATCGGCCGTTTTACGGCCGAGATCTTGGGGGGGGGGCCATAATGGCCCCCCCCCCCCCCCCCCCCCCCCGTAGTAAGACTTCAAATAGCCCGGCCTTATTAGGGTTAAGTCATGTTGGTTCTTATCTTTCTTTTTTTCTTTCTTTCTTTCTTTTTAATTCTTTAAAGACCTTTGGAATTAATTTTTGGACAAAATAGTATAACTTGAGTAGACCCATTATTCTGTAGAACACAAATATTGTGTAAAGAAGTTGCATAGTTTGTTTTATCATATTCATCCACCAAGATATGGGTATCAAATATGTGCAGTAATTTTGGAGAAAGTTGTTGGTGTACATGTAACCCTTAAGTACAGATTATTGAGCTTGACGTGGTTATTTCTATTGAGGGCTGATAATATTGCTGACACAGTACATTGATAGTCTTAAAATATATTATCACTGCTGCACAAAATTCCCCAAATACATAGCAGTTGATAAAAATACCTTTACTACCAATCCCACATGCAACTACTTCAATTCATAGCTGTAAAGGATTCCTATTATTTGGCCTTCAAGCTAATGTTTTGAACCCCAGATTCCTCTCTTTTTCTGAAATATTTTGGGTGAAAAGTATACAAAATACACTGTATTCCTAATTTTGCCTTGAGAGATTCCTAATTTTTTGCTGTGAAAGGTTGGCAGGTAAGTAATTGTGGTATTGAAATTCACCAGATGGTTTTATTTTCTCCATAAACCAGGTTCAACATGCACTTCACAAGTCAGATCAAGCCCTCGCTACCCTAGCCAAAGCCGTGCGCCTTGATGCAAACAACCCTCTCTGTAGATTTCACCGTGCTTCAATATTGTTTGCTACCGAGAAATACCAGGTAGGAGCAGTGAAGAGAACTTGTGAAGTGCTATTTGCATATTATAATGCAATAAATCACTTTTAAATTTTAAAAAGAAGACAAAATAAAGAGACAACAAAAAAACCGTGCGGCAAAAATTAGCAAAATTATGTGTAAATGAATTGCAAGTGGAGCCGGACAAAAAAGTTTAACTGCTTTCAACAAAGGCCCTAAAAATGGTACTTATGTTTAATTTTGTGGTGTAATGTATATACGTTAAAAACAAGAATGTGAAGAGCCCAATGCCTTGTCATGTTATTGTGCCACAACTTTTTTTTTTTAGCTACGCCCAGTAATTTTGAGTGAGGCTTCAAAGTGTGTAGAACACAGCTTTGCATTGAATGCAAGTTTATAAGTAGAAAAGAAATTGTGTGAAAATGATGAGGACTGGTGAGACAAAGGGAAATACACAATTAATGTGATGCAGCATATATATGTTCCTAACAGCTAAGAAGTTTCAGAGCATGCACTTTTCAAGAATAAATTATGTAGTGCAAATCAAACGGGTTAATCATTATTCATATATTCGTGCATGACATTTGTACCCGTTTCATCTGCAGGATGCCTTGAAAGAACTAGAAGAAATGAAACAGATGACTCCATCAGAATCATTAGTCTACTTCCTCATAGGCAAGGTATGTTGAAAATCAATTTCCCATTTCAAATTAATAATAATAATAATAATAATAATAGGCATTTCTATAGCGCCCTCTATCTAGAAATTCTATTCCGAGGTGCACTAATTATTACACCGGCTTTAGCCTAGCTGCCATGACAGTGCTCCAGCATTTCAAGGAACTATTCTTGCCAGGTACCCATTTACCTCACCTGGGTCGAGCAAATGAAGATTAATGCCTTGCCAAAGGACATTAGTGCCGTGATCGAACCACGACCTTTGAATTTCAAGTCGAGTGCTTAGACTACAACAAAATTCATTTTGTTTCTGTCATTATAGAGAATGTGTGATTCAAATATTGTTTATATCAATGTGAGAGTACAAATGAATAAAAATTACAATTTGTAAGAAAAAAAACAAGTCTACTTTTAAAGCAGATCGATAAGCCATAAATTGATCACCCTCAATACTAAATACTGGACATGAAATCATTTTACATTTGAATGTCTTCAATATTTCTTTATCCTTTTCCTTTTCATCCTTGATTTTCTAAATGCCTGATTACTAATACATAGCTGTCTACTTATCCATAATAGAGAAATAATTCCTATTCTATGGCCTCCAAACAAATGTTGTGATTCCTAGATTCCTCCATAATATGTTAAAGCAAACATAGTGATGTGGAATGATAAAAGGTTTGTTCATATAGCTCCAGAATGTGACCAATCCCCACACCCCAAGGACTTGTAAACATTTACAATTTGTTTCGATTTACAGGTTTACAAGAAACTAGGCCAGACTCATCAAGCCTTGGCCAACTTCTCCTGGGCCTTAGACCTGGATCCAAAGGGAGCCAATAGCCAGATCAAAGAAGCTCTAGACAAGCACTATCTACCAGAGGATGACGAACCTGCAGTCCCTGCACTAGCTCAAGCAGACACACCCAGTCAAGGTGACTAGATTTTGATTGTTTGTTTTAATATGTATAAAAAAAACGACATCATGCAATTGGTAAAACAATAACGAATAGATATTATGAATTACAATATAAAACAAACAGCTGAATAGCCCATATTCAGTGGTATCGTTATGATGCCATTGGTCTTCCATGGGGACCAGAAATGGTATAGTAAAACAATACAATATACATTAACAAACGATAAAGAAAAATGGTGAAACATAAATTTCCAAGCAAAATATAGTATGAAATTAAATATCCAGGACAGACAGTATAGAGAAAAGAAAGTAGTATTTTCATAGAAACAGAATTGTATGAAATAAACTACAAATAAATGTGAATTATCGATGTTGATTGGGTTTCTGTTTGTTGTCATTAGGCAAAAAAATGAGATATTTAAATATTTTCAGACATAGCTTGTAAATGAACTGTAACAATCAAACATAAGTCTTTTGATATTGGATGTTAATTACTCGCAAATGAGTGAAGGGTCAGAAATTTCTATCAGTTAAGTTGCGGTACGCTTCAATGTAAAATATTGATTGGAATCTGTCAATGCTGGTTCTTTAGAAAGGTGGCAAATTTTGTCAAGATAAAGGTTGTGAACTTGTGATAAATTTAAAAATCAGATGGGAGTCATTTGGTAGTGGTCATCAAACTCCCACAATGAATACTGAGTGTTGGCAAGTTACTACCCCTGTCTTGCCATTTAAAATGTTTAAATAATTACATAGTTTTCACGTAACTTGTCAGAAGAATGTCTTCTTTTGGTAAGAGTACGTTGGTTCTTCATTGTTTTTAAAGTCTTTTATGTAAGGAATCATGCCTCAAAATTATGGCAAATCACCATGTTGTATGGCCAGATGTTTTTGAGTTTCAGAAGATAAAAAGCTGTTCCTTTCCTGTGAATGTTCCAATAGACTTTTTCCAAAGTGGTAGTTTGACCTTTGACCTTCTTCTTCATTGGTATGTATTTTTCATTTCTTTCCATCATGCACAGGAGGTATTGAAGACTCTGACGCAGCAGGGGATATATCGAGGGAAAGTTTACTCGATGGAGAGGACATGCAACTCCAAGCAAATGAGAGCGACGAGAGTTTATGATCATCACCAAACATTTAAATGCATGCATAGGACTATGACGTTAGAACTTGGATGGGAGCACCCGACATGAATGTCCTCTTGTGGGCCTGCAGTGTGGTGTCATGGAAGATGTGTCTGTCAGACTAGCCCTTGGAGAAATATCCATGAATGGGCAACTTTTGCAGGGATTACATCGATGTACTCTGATGCTAGCAAGAACAAGAGGAGCTTGAAATTTGAATCTCTCGTCGCTTGTGAATCAGACATACACAAATCCAAACCCTCCCCCTCCCCCTTCCCATATCCATCTTCCCCCTCCCTCTTCCCCCTCCCTCAGAGGGAATCCAAGATGGATTGCAGGATTTCCTAAATCAGAATTAAAGGTTGGGTAATTCTTCCCCCCCCCCCCCATATTCTTGATGCATCCGGGATTGACTACAAGAAAGACTCCCTATGTTATAATCAATTGCTATACAACAAGAAGCTTTCACAACATGGGATTATTGCAAATTGTCAAGGATAGCCATTTTCATTGCAAGAAATTTCAGTAAATTGCAAAATGTAGTATTGTCTTAACTGTAATTCAGTAATTACCTGGCGTAAAAGTTCTTTGGATCTGAAATTCTCACAAAATTCACGAACATTTCATGCACGCCAAAGTATCTGGTTTTATAGTAGTGGTTCTATCTAGAACAAGAATAGAGCAAAATGGGATTCAGACTGATGGAAAATCTCCATCTCTACCACTTTCCATTTTTGGGTACCTCATACATACAACATAATACAACTTTTCTTAACTCACAATGTCATTTTGATGAATGAACAAATTGATGTAAAAGCTGCAACATCCATCAAAGTGACATGCCAAAAGATCATTAAGGTTTTCATGTTACTCTGCGTTTGATTACAATGACAGGTGTAGTTATGCTGCTGCAATGTATGTTCCTGCACAAAGGATTATCAAAAGTACCCTCTTTGTGTAAACAGTTCATCATACCTTGTTTGTGTTTTACCTTTTCAAGAAGATACAACTATGTAGTAATAACAAACTACTGGTAGCTAGGATTTGTTTTCTTCCATAACTCTCATACCTGATATATGTTGACATTCAAAGGGCAATCCAACCCTGTAATAAGTTCGTTTGTATGAAGGCAGAAACATCAGAGAAATAGAATGGTGATAGTTTAAAATAAATCTAACCATTAATAAGAAAGTTATGAATGTTTGAAATATGAGATCACTACAGCTATGTGGATCTCAAATTGGCAATTTTGTCATTGGATTGTGACGTAGTGGCAGATAATTCTCCAGTTTGTTGTGTACACAAATATCACTAAGTCTGTCGGTGTTTTCCCCAAGTGCCTTCACTTTTGGGGCACTGCTCAAAACATATTATGGAGAGTTTGTTGTTACAGGTTCTCTTAAAAGAAAAAGCCCATTAGGTGTATTATGTTTTGATGAAATAACATGAAAGTAGAGCATTTCATGAAATCTAACTTGTCAATTATTGAATCATGTGAAACTTGCAAAGGCCTATCATTCAGATCAATTTTTTTACTCCCACGTTTCTGTTCTGAAGCGAAGTGACATTTTGTAATATGGCATCTAGAATTTGCAGAATGGTAAAGACAATAATCATGTTTTTTAACAATTAATTAGTCATACCTGTGGTTGACTTCAAATTGTCTTACATAGACCAATGAGAATCATAGCTTTCATCAAAAAAACAGCAGATATGAGTGTTTTCTTTAGGAAGCTATGTTCTGTTGGAAGCACAGATGCATTTTTTCAGGCTTTTGCCTTATTTCAGGCCCTGTCCCCTCTATGTTACAGGCTTTAAATTGTACAATATACACAATTTATTTTAAATTATGTAGGGCTTCAACATGTCCGAGTCTCCCTTCAGACTCCATAGGAGAAACCTGGTAACCTGTGCAAGTTTACATTGCGTAATTATGCACATTATTAAAGGTTACTTACTACATGCTCCCCAGGGAGTGGAGAATGTGCATACACTGGTGCAGTTAAGCCCGAGTCCGATGACCAGGGTAATACTGCGCCTAGAAACAAAGTATTAGGTGCGTTATAAATGTGATTTATTATTATTATTATGTATTGTTTTGCCCTGAAGTCATAATCTTAAATGAAATTGAGACATGGTTCACTTGAGTCAAAGATATGCCATGTATAATGAAATATTGGCATTACTTGAAATACATGGGACAAGTATGGAATAATGGTCTTTAAAGAATTAGCCCAAGTAATTCCCCCTCAATGTTTAAAATGTTCTTTTTTTAAATCGAAAATGGCATCTTTGGATTTTATTATTTTGTAATTTGTGTCCTGTTGTGCCAGATATGAACAATAAGTTTGTTTTCTGTTATAGAATGCAAACATTTATTTCGACTTTGATAAGCAGACGTTCATGAAGTTGGTTAACGTTTTTGCCACTTTCTTGGGGTTTTCTCCATAATGATAGTCATTGTGGTTAAACAGGTATAAGTTTGTACCAAGTTTCATCATTTCCATTTCTTTTTTTTTATTGTATTTTCCCCCAATGTTGTACATCTGCTAGAATTTCTGCAATTTTGTTTTAAAAAGGTCTTGCATCCCTATATGCCATATGTGAATACATGTAATTTCCAATTATATAGCTTTTACAAATTCTTTTCATAGTCGTCTACAATTATGATAGACTGATGAACTGTATTACAGTCAAAATCAGTAATGGCAAAGGGCCTGGAAAGTATGACGGTGTACATGTGTAAATATTGATGTTAATCACATAGTAAACTTAAATATTGTACTGCAGAATATTGTATTAGGAAAGTGATGGCAGAAGATTATCTACCATCAGATATATGTATCATCTTATCTACATGTGAAAATAAAATAAAAATGAATCCATGATAATGATAACATTGTATTTGCGCCCTTGATTCTGTATATTATTGGGGTCCTCCCTTTTTTTAAATCCCCCCTACCTCATATTCATAATTGATAATGATAATAATAATAATAATGATAATCATAACAATAATAATAATATTAATAATAAACATTGGTAAGAATAATAATAATAATAATAAATGATTATAAAAATGATAGTAATTATAATGATATTGATAAAAACTATAATGATGATTATGATGATTATGAAAGTGCTTATAACATGCGGGGGGGGGGGGGTAGGCCTATAGTCTTGACCCCCATGTTCCGTGGATAACTTTAATATCGACCTATTTGTGGAATGTAACGGTATATGCCATATATTATCCACCCTCTCGCCCAAACCTAACAAATGAAGATATATACTGAGATATATATATATATAAATAAATAAAATGAGGATATTTTGGGGCACCATATAGCTTAACTTTGAGGACTGCATGGGGACATCTACCCTACTCTCTGCCGGTTACTCTGCCAACCGCCAACCGTTAAAGATAAAGACCAATATGGTCATGCGATTGCATTGTGAAAGAAACGTGGAATCGATCAGAAAAGGTTGATCATCTAGCATATATGTATTGCCAGTGTACTGCAAGGTTCTGGAATCATCAAAATGATAAGAAATAAATTTGGCCCAGTCTCCATAAAGTTACAAGCACTGTACACAGAAAGATGTATATGGGACTATACGCACGTGCGTGACACGTGCGTTTATCTCTCACACACCAATAGATAAACTAATTTACCAAATATATCAAATAGTTGGCGGTTTCCCGGCAAAATTGTTATCGTGTATTAGTCAAAACATATTCTTTCACATGATTGGTAATAAGAGCTTCCATTTCATTTTTTGAAATTGGGGCGTTTCCAATACTGGTCTAGTTTCGAAATTGTTGATTTTTATATTTATGAGGTGTTTTATTTCCTGAATACCAGAGGTAGTACATATAATCAAAATCACATTCAGAATAATCAAAATACAATTAAAGCAGTTGCTAAACAACAAACTCTTAATCTTTCATACATTTCCTTATTCATTTAAAACAATAATACATATCATTTCATGTTCAATTTTCTTTTCTTTCAAAAACACTTTATCTGAAGTAAACGAAATAAATAAATGCTTGTTTATAAAATATTATAATCTGTCAAATAAAATTAATTAAAAATAAATACAGTACTACCTCTGAAAAGAGAAAAACTCCCCCAGAGAGAGAGAGAGAGAGACTAGATAAAGATTAAAAAAAAAGGACAACTTGAAACAAAAACAAAGAAAAAAAACAGAACAAAAACAACCATACAAAAAATAAACAAACGAACAAACACAAAGCAAAGGAAGACTGCTGGCCGGGATAGAGGGCTGGGAAGTTGCTAGAACTTTTAGGTGAATTTATATCATACAAAACCTTCCAAGGCCTCCCACTTGTAATGAATTGAAAGAGTATCCCTTTCCATTGCAATTAGTTTTGTTTCCTCTTTCCTATTTTCGAAAAAAAATTATCTTATACTTCATTTACATTTGGAGGCATGCACCCCTTCTCTCTTTCATCAAAAATCATCAATTTAATCAAAATTAGAATGTGGTTTAGTAATTGCTCTGTTTTCATTATAGTACTCCCATTTCTTCCATATGAATTTCTTTCTCTTTGGAAAAAATTGAGTACGGTATCATCATATTTTTGCCAGACTCTTTTTATTAGTATAAGGTGTATTACATTAAAAAAAAATACATGTTGATAGGTTTCCTCCAAATTATTCGAGTGAAGAACTTGGCTATCACGATTCACGACCTTTCTTCTATAATTTCGAATTTTGATCATCTTCTTAGCTTTAGGTGCATACTTTACGTCCCCGCCCCACAACCCCTAACCCTTTCGCCGAGCCCTACCTCCCTAGCATCTATCGGTCGCCGATCCCAACGCGTTATTGTCCATGGGTTAGACTTATTGCCAGGCTTTATATGAGTACAAACCGGTTCTCTTTATTTTTAAAATGATTTCATTTCTATTTTTCTCATACTATATTTTTAATAACTGTATTTATATATGAACCTATCCGTAATATTTCATAAAAATTGGCTTTATTCATATTTTAAGTAATATTTCCCTTTAAGTCCTTCGTTTCGATATATCAGTAGTGAACTTTGATCCTCCGCGCGTACTTGTACTTATGCAAATTGCATTGCAATGCATAGCTTTTCGATAAGATCGCTATTCGCGGGAAGCCGACACATCGGAAATTTGATCGATATTTCTTGACCGAATAAATCTCAAAAAGTTTGGGAGATGGAGGAAATTAAAACCCCCATGAAGATGTCGAAATCACCAGGGAAAAGACACACGCCTAGCAGGTCTCAAGTCTGGCAATACATTAGCTGTGATATTGATGCAAAGGTCGCCCGATGTAACATTTGCAACAAAACAATGAAGTACACAGGCGGCACTACAAACTTGCGTTATCATTTGACTGCGGCACACCAAATGCAAGAGTTTGAGGTAGGTCTAGATCTACGTTGTATTGTTGCAGTATCGTGTGTGCATATGTGTTATCGACGAAAATTATCAGAACAACAAATCGGTCAAAGTTATCGGTTGATTTAATTTATTTTCAACGTTTATTTGAGCGAAAGTAGTAATGTAGGGTCTCTTGTCATTAATTTGTCTGGAAATACATGTGTAACTTGGAAATTGTATGCCCTAAAATTGAAATGAATATGATCAGATGTCAGACTCTGACGCGTCTCTTCGGTCGTGTCCGCTGATCTCGATTCTCGGGCGGAATGCTGTGGATGTGGTCGGTGCAGTGAGTTGAGTGCCGACTCCGTCGGCCCGGGCGCGGCACGGCCAAGGGCAAGGCAACCTTGGGCTTAGCTTAGCGCTGCCCGCCTGCAGCTTGTGTAAGTTGAGTGGTAGAGGGGTCTCGTGTAAATGGCATGGGCCCTTGGCCTGTGACGTGAGGCTAGTATTTACCGACTTTCTGAGAATAGCTGAGCTTGCCTTTAGAATTAAAGGCTTTGCCTTTAATAGCCTCAGTTAGTGTAAACTCTCCAGGAATTTACCTTAAATTACAAAAGAAAAAGAAGACGGGACCTCTCCCCTGGCCCTCCCCCCACTTTTTCAAGCACCTGAAAAGTGCCCCTTTTTACATAGGAATAGTGCCCCTTTGACTTTGACAAGTGCCCCTATTAATTTGTAAAAGTGCCCCTTCCTGCCCTGGCTTTTCAATTCTGATAAGTGCCCCTTTTATTTGGACACGTAGACCTACCTCTTTTCCTTCGACAAGTTCCCATTTTCCTTTGCAATAAGTGTCCATTTTCCATTCTCATTTAGAAGTGTCTTTTTTAATCTCTAGTAAGTGCCCCTAGTACGAGAAGTGCCTCTTTTCACTTTTGATAAGTGCCCCCTTCACCTCCGCTAAATGCCCCTTTCAAATCTGACCGGTGCCCATTTTCTTAACTAGACTTCTAGACCTAATGCACATTTTCCTTTATTACAAGTCAAGTGGCCCTTTAGGCTTTAGAGTCTACATATCTGGTCATTGCCCCCTTTTCACCTCTGATAATGTCCCTTTTAACAATATATCATAATATAGTCTAACCAGTAACTGAATTGATGGGGGCCCCTTTTGTGTCCAAAAATGCCCATTTCATATTCTCATGACTGACTTTTTTTTCATCTCTTTTTTAATGGTCTAAGAAGTGCCCCATTTTCACCTCTGATAATTAATTACTCTTTGTTGTAGGCCTACTTTTGCACATGCTCCTTTTCTTTCCTGATAAGTGTCCCCTTTTCCTCTCATCATTAAATGCGCCCTAACTAATTTCAAGCGACTAAGAGCAATTTCCCCCAAAGCTCGCACGCATTTATAGATGATATAGATCTCTAGATCTAGATCTACTTGCATATTTATCAAACGTCTTCAGTCTTCCGTTATGAGAATGTGCTTATAACCCCATTAGTACTGGGTTTTTCCTCTTTATTAATTATAATTTTTTGCTCTGCGACCTCACACATCTTTAAATTTCTCCTCGCTCGCTTGCAAACAATTTTTTAGACACTCAAACTCAACTGCAAAGCATGATGCTTAAGCAATATCTTGTATGGTGTATAAAGTGAAACAAATATTGAACTCATCCCTGATAATTGTAATCACAATGTAGGGGAATATACCAATGTCTAAAAAATTTGTATATTTTCCCTTTGAGATTTCCCTTTGTAGGTGCCCTTTTTTCTTGGTATATAACAAATATTAAGTGTTTCTCGTATCCACCCGCCTCCTTTTTTTAACTATTTACTATTCAGAAAAAAAGCCCCCCTCCCCCCCAAAAAAAACCTGTGATAGATCTACATTTTATTTAAATCAAAATAGCTTCTAAAGTGATACAAATCATTTGTTTTGTCATACATTGCAACAGTATACTCGCATAGCTCAGTCTATAGCACAATATCTGTAAATAATATTAGATCTACAGTACATAGGCTTAGCCAGCTATAATTAGCATGGCAGCCATCTTGAGAAAAAAAATTGCAAAATTGTAAATAGTAATGCCCGCCACCTCTTTTTTTTAAAAGTCCGGACGAGAAACGCATTTTAAAAATAATTTGGCCTTACAGTTGTACCTCCAAAGCAGAACAACATTAGAAACGGCTGATTTTGTCTCTCTGTCAATCTAGGTTATTGGGCCATCTGCCAGAATTTACAAAGAAGGGGGAGAATGGAAGACAGGAAGGAGGGTTCGTGCACCCAAATCCGGATCAACATTCCGTGTCAGCATAAGTGGATCCCCATCAGGCAAAGGTTCTTCCCGCGGCAACAATTCACCATTGCCGTCAACGTCCAATGCTGCGGTGAAGATTCCCTGTGGCCCAGAGAGATCCAAATTCATCAACTCGCACGTCGTGATGCTCCTGGCCCAGGGTCTGCTTCCAGTGAGCATGGTTGAAGACGAAGGGTTCATCCGATTTGTCCAAGAGCTGGAACCTGGCTACACAATGCTCAACAAACATACAGCTCAGATGAAGTTAATGGCAAAATTTGGAGAGTCACAGGTAAGCTACATGTACAGTACATGCTATGCTACATTAAAAGCACTATTGTAGCTTGTTAGGTCCTATTTTGTTGTCTTGAATGTAAGCCTACATGAAAGCTCAACATTTCTTTCGTTACATTAGTGCTATTATCTAAAAAGATTTAAAATATTTTGTTTTCATTAAAATAAGATTAAATTTTTTTCTTTTTTCTTTTTTTTTCCAACTCCGAAATAGTAAACCAAAATAGTACTCTCATATAGTACTTTCTAAAAATAGGTCAAATATTTCTGGTCATGTGACGATCTCTCAACCAATCATAAGCCAACAAATTTTTGATGCAGGATATAATACATGTTATATCCCTTATCGTAAGATTGTTGCATTAGGAGTGTACACAACAAGAAAATGAATAGTTTTACTATAAAAGACGTTTCCTGCTGCCTACATCGAAATAGTACCTTTTTATTGATGACGTCACGCATAGTACCTTTTTTTCCCTAGGGAAAAAAAGGTACTATGCGTGACGTCACAATAAAAAAACGCATATTCTTGAACTATGCGTTTTCCCAGCGAGCGCGTACATGATTTCAAATGCCTCTGCGAGGTCAATCCCCGCGGTGTCACGGCGCTCAATTTACGCTGTGCGATAACTGCATTACACTAGCGCCAGCTAAACATTTTTACATCCTTCAATGTTTCATTTGAGCCGTGCAATTTTCTTTATTTCTTTTCGATCTGAATGTAGATGTGAATGTGAGTTTAAGGTTCATGTTATTATAGAAGTGTACAAGGAATAATACAGATGGAAGGGATATAAAACAAATATACAATGACTCATTCTCGGAACAAGCTAAAACTAATCGCACTCAGGAACATCATTAGTACTTTCTCCCTCGGGCCGATGGCCCTCGGGAGAATAGTACTAGTTGATGTTCCTTCGATGCGAATAGTTTCAGCTAGATCCTCGAGTGTCATTGTATATTTGTATACTATGCTACATTAAAAGCACTATTGTAGCTTGTTAGGTCCTATTTTGTTGTCTTGAATGTAAGCCTACATGAAAGCTGAACATTTCTTTCGTTACATTAGTGCTATCATCCTAGGGCAAAAGGATGCTTCTCTTAGTCCAAATCTTATTTATTCCTATATTATTATTTTACCATGGTGCTTTAGAAGAAAATTTCTTCAACAGAGAATCTAGAAGAAATCAATGGGCTGGTGCTTACAAACAATATCTTTTTAGAAATCTAACTGAACCAACATCATGTAATTGTATGAGTGAAAGAGAAACGATTGATTACACCTTGAAAATGCTTTTCATGCTTTCCAATTAGTATGCTGAGAAGCTTAGACAAAATCGATCATCATAAAGATTCAGCCAACCCAGTCTGATTTTGTGACTTCAAACCTCATTCTGCTTCCAAATCATTTTCAGGAGAAGCTGAAGATCTGCCTGAACAAGGACGCCAAAAACTTTGGCCTCATGTATGAAGTATGGACAGGCCATGATAAGAACAATTACCTGACTGTCACCATCCACTACCTGACACACCAGTGGAACCGAGAGTCCTGGGTGCTGGGGACGGACCGCGTATCCGCCAAACCCTCCTGCACCGAGCTAAGCATGTGCATTCGGAACTTAATCAGCCATTACCAACTCTCCCTGGAGAGCATAACGGCCGTGGTCAATCGGCAAGGGATGCTCAAGGGTACACAGATCGGCAAGGTCGGGAGTGCGTTGCAGTGTGACAGCATGAGCTGTGCAGCGGAGAAGTTGGAGCAGTGTGTCTCGCTGGGGTTGCAGCTCTCCAGTGTGAAGGAAGTGGTGGATGAGGCTGCCAAAATGGTCAGGTACTTCTTGCAGAACGAGGAAGCCAGGGAGATGCTGGACAAGGCCAAATATGACAACAAGCTGAATGTGGAACTCCAAGACTACAACAAAGGATCTTGGTTGGGCGTTGCTGACATGCTGCAGAATGTGAGAATTCTTTACTGTTAGATCTGTCAGATATTAGTGGAAGGTGGGGCCTTCAGTGGGGGCCTTCAGTGGGTTCGATAAAAAGAATCAAAAGCATGAAATCACTCAGTACAAAGATGATGGAACAAATTATTTCACGGAGGTGATTTCAGGAATCCAATTTTCTTAAGTGGTTTTACAGTGGGGAAGAAGATATTTATATTTACTTGTTGCTCTTTTCATTTATACAGTAATTATATTTGTATATGTTTAAATCCAGATTGGTGATAATGATGAATGGAATAGTTTTGAGAGTATTTTATTTATTATTTCTTTAAAAAAAATGTCCTGATAGGTTTTAAAAACTGATTTCTCTGAATAATAATAATAATAATAATATTAGCTCACATTTATAATGCGCCCAGTACTTTGTTTCTAGGCGCAGCACATATTATTACCCAGGTCATCAGATTCAGGCTTACCCGCAACACAATGTATGCACATTTTCCACTCACTGGGGAGCAGTTGCCATTCTACAAGCGCCACTTCCTAATCCAACCACATTAACTTTTGCATCCTACCAGGTACCCATTTAACACCTGGGTGGAGAGTGGCAAATTTAGATCAATGTCTTGGCAAAGGTGACATATCCACTCAACCACGTTGGCATGTTCTGAAATAATCTTATTTCTTTATATTCCTTTTTACTCAGGTCATTGCACTGCAAGACGAGATCGAGACCGTCAAAGTTCTGGATGAGAAGAACCAGCTGATGTACATCCATGAGTGGGAGAGTGCCGGTCAGTTGGTCCAGTCCCTCCAGATCTTGAAGGCAGCCCTGACTGTGTTGAGCGACCAGAAGAGTGGCTCTGTTGCCTGTCTCCTGCCCGTTGTTCACAGTATGCTACAGCACTGCGAGGGTCGAGAGGAGGATAATACCATTATCAGCGAGTTTCTCGGTTTAATTGCCAAGGAGGTGAATGAAATTGATGCACTGCATATTTATTTTGGGAAGCGTTCAGGTGTATGTTAAAACACAAGTTTTTGCACATATAAAATATTCATGAATTTCGTGAGTGGTTCAGATTCATGACCTTACATGCTTCAGAATAATTGAAAAATTAGGCCTGACAAGACACTAATATTTTGTAATAAGCTGAAGTTGTGTACAATGCATAAAAGTTAACTGATTTAAAACTTTTTAAATGTATATTTGATTTGATTGAAGCTGAGCCGAGACAGATTTTACCTCTTTGTTTTCACATAAAAATATACAGCGCATTAAAGGTGAAATTCAAAGAAAATCACAAATATGTCAACTAATGTATCACCAGAAGCTGCTAAGCTAACAGAAATACAAATACAACTACCTCCATAGCAGCTGGGATATACAAGAGATTCGCCGGAAAATAACGATGTTTTAATGACGTCACTATACCAACACTGCCCAAGCAGACGACATCCCATAGAGAATGAACATAATTGCAAAGCTATTATTTCTCAAATTATAATGAGTGTAGTGTATATAAATGTAATGGCATGTCAAACCATTCAAAAGGGAATATGACCCGATTCTGATAACTAAAATCTTTTGCTTGTAAATACACAGGATAGGGGTTAATTAACAATCAAAGAAACCAGACTTTCAAAGTGAAAAACCCCCGGAATGATATTAAGGATGGTATTTGTTCCCTCTTGAAATGCCGAACATACCCCGGTGTGTGCAGCTGAATATACAATGGCGTCTTATTTTGTTTACAAGCGACAGATTCCTTTATTTTTGTATCGCTGCATTTGTCATCAAAATAAAACCATGCGTGGGATTTAGAGTGAGGCAATAGATTATACATTTAGCCCGACGGTAGTGAAGTAAGAGAAAGAACTCAAGAGAAGATGAAAACACAGGCACTGAAAACGTGTGAGATGTCATGGGACATCGTCTGCTTGTGCAAGTCATGTCCATACTGTGATCTCACACATCTCAGCAGCGTTCGGAGAGCTCTTCAGGTGCTATGCCGGGGCTGTATTTAAGCGTTTTGTAATTTATAATAAACATTACTTCGAATGTTTCCAAGCATTGAATTTTGATAACCTTGTCGAATCAAAGTTTCAACTTTGCAATAATGAAAATAAAGTTAGTTTTTAAAATCAATGAATATCTACTTTAAGATTAATTTACCTCCTTGGCAATGTACCTAAGAGGGGTCGAAAGTCGAAGTTTCTGGTCTTACTAGAATGCTTGCATGAATCCCTCTCAGTTTCATTGCTAAGGAGGTGAATTCAAATTAATGCCCTGCATATTTTTATGTTGAAATTTGAAACAGAGAGGCAAAATCTGTCTCGGCTTCAATCAAATAAAATTCACATTTAAAATGTTCTAGGTCTGTTGACTTGATTGAATTTGATAATTCTTAAAACGATATACGGTAATGATCGTAAATACCTATCTAGAAAAAAGAAAAAAGGATCAAAAATTTGTAATAGCTACCTAATGTCTTATACTACATGTATATTTGTCTAGATTTTATGGTCATAGCAACAATGCATTTGAAATTAAAAGTCATTGATTGCCATTTTTTTCAGGTTCGGGATAAATGGGATCTCAACGCCATCATGCCATCTTCAGTCACAATGCTTTCTGCGCTCTTGGACCCCCGCTTCAAGCAACTCAAGTTTATTGCAGACGACGACAAATTAGATGTCATCGATGCTCTCAAACAGCTGGTGACGGCAAACGCCACTACAAACCAGGAGTCGGATGACCCTACAGCCAACAGTGTCTCTCCATTCCTGTGTCTGTTCGGTGAGGACGAGTTCAATAGTAAGCCTGAAAGCACCGATGCGGAGGTCACGACCTACCTGTCGTACCCACCTCTGTCAAGAGACATGTGCCCGTTGGACTGGTGGCGCATGAACCAGGGCAAGTTCCCCGAGCTGTCGAAGATCGCACGCTGTTACCTTGCCGTACCTGTCGTTGTCCAGTCCTGGAATGACATCATGACGGGGACGTCCAAGGTTGACCTGAAGAGGGCTCTCCTGGAGGTGGACACTGCTGGACCATTGATCTTCTTAAACAAGAATTGGTCCATTCTGTCATAGGCCAACTAGTGATACAGAGAGAGAAAGAACTCTTGACAGTCTAAATTATTACAGTCTGAGGATTTTTGTAGGCGAAGTCTTATGCTTATTGATATTGATTCGCTTTTTTACATCACAGTCACGTTAAAACTTCCAGACACTGAGCTTTATCTTCATCTTCACATTTCAAAGAATCTCCTTGAAACTTCAACAACAACGACAGCATGTGCAGTCAGTATCTTTATGGATAACTCACTGAGCATCATGTATAGAGTGTTTAGATATTTATTTTGTTGTTGTCTTCATTCAAAGGAATTGTAAATATGTTGGATATGGAATGAAATGTGCCTTTTTGTTTCTATTTATTCCAGTTTAAGTGTTCATGTTTAATAGTTGAAGCACTTTGATCACTCCATATTGTAGCAAGTTTGCACATTTGCACCTCTTGCCCTCCCCTTTCTCTCTGTTTCTGTCTCTTATCTCTGTCTATCTGTCTCTTTCTTACCCTTATGCATGTAATTAAAACCCATTTGTTTCAGATTACCAATGTTTATTAAAAGAAAAGAATATTTCTTCTTTTTATATTTGAATGGTAATTTGTTTGCAACCACATAAGTGTTGGTCTTTGACCTGCCAGCTTAAACATGATGTTCTAGACCTTTTTTTTTTTTTTTTTTTTTTTTTTTTTTTTTTTTTTTTTTTTACTTTCTGTTTCTGTAGCTGCATTAAGTACTGACTGGACCTCACTTATGAAAAACTATGATAATAGTATCGCTTAAAGGTATTCCCTACTATTTTGTGTTTGTATGCTAGTATGAGTATGAATATGTCAATAGTAAGGCAGCTGTAGGTGTACCTTTAATGAAGGATCTTGTTATCTTTGTTGTTATCGATGAGGTCTAGCCCGCACTTTGAACAGATAGTTCTAGTTTTTTTTACTTGAGAATTAGTATTTTGAAGAGTTACACTCTTCTGCGTCTCAACAGATGATATGATCAGTCACTGAAGCAAATGTAATAATATTTTAGTTATAATTTGCAAATGGTTTTTGCACTCTTTCCAAGTAATATATTCTAAATTTCATGTAATTGGCTGATTATAAGATTATTATAATCATAGTTTTGGGAATATTTAATTGATTTATTTCCTTGATCGGCCATTTTCGTAATTATGTAATCAAATTCAATACACAAATCTTTGTAAGGTACCTCATTACAAACTCTTTCATTCACCTGTTAGGTATAATTGTGTCTCCATAGTCAGAATGTGAATAGGCCATTTTCGCAATGTAACCAAATTTAATGCATAAGTCTTAGTGCATTTAACTTGGTAACATTACGAAAATGGCCTATTGCATACATACAGTCAGTAGGACAAGCCATGATGTTTGTCCTACCTAGCAACAATTAATGTATGCAATTGCACAAATCTTTGTATAGTGCCTTGTTACAAACTATTTCATTAACCTTTTAGGAATACATGCCAACCAGTACGATCTAGTCGTATTTCGTACGACTTTTTTTTTTTTTTTTTTTTTTTTTTAAAATTTAAATTTAAATTTGTTCATTAATTAATTCATTTTCAATGGCAAGATGCCCATTCTGTCCTGTAAAGTATCCTTCAAGCATCTCACATAGGCAATTTGGGGATTTTTATTGGTTTATCCAACACACCAGTTGAGACGAAATCATGCATATGCAACCAATGATCCATAAAAAAAATTCTTCCTGTATGTAGGAACTGCAAGTGGCATTGATCCGCGTAACAGTCCGTGTTTATTTTTTAAGAATACAACTTTTGTCAGTAAAATACAACTTTTGGGATTAAAGAATACATTTTTTGAACTCCAGAGGTTGGCAGGTCTGCATTCCCTGCTTTTAGGTAGTGACAGTTAATGTATGCAGTTTGCATTCTGACTATTGAAATACAATTATTCATAAAGGGTGAATAAAATAATTTGTAGCATGGCACTTGACAAAGATTTATGCATTAAATTTGATTGCATAACAAAAATGGTCTATTAATTATGTGTATGTTATGCATACCTGTATTTGCCTTATTGCCTCAAAGTCCCAATTGAAGTGAGATGGCTGGAGCAAAGTGCACTTCATATTTCTGTATTGACGGCTGCTTTAATGTTTTAACCCATATAGTTGTATTAGGTTTAATATCACCTCCTTCCGCCATTCATTCCTAGTACGTAAACTTTGTTATTATTTATTGACAGGTTTTTTTTGTTCTCCTTTTGGGTATTTTTTTTAAATATTTTCTTTTTATTTGTTTCTTTATTTATTTTTAAAAATTTTGTTTAGGTTTACCATGTCCATTGTGAACAAGGCCTTTAGTTAAAAACTGCTAATGTCCCTTACTTACAAAGTAGTACATTACATATTTTGCAATAGTTAAGATGAAGCAGAATATTTCTTGATCTTTTAAAGAACTACCTGTACATGATGTACAATTATTATAGTGATATGTAAATAGTTGCATGATTTTAATATTTTATTGCATCAAAATGGAAATAATGTTGGTGCTACATTCAATTCTTAAATTTCGCATTTCAATACATGTAAAATGTATTAAAATATACTTTTTATTGATATTCACAAGCTTTTTCATCTCCTGTCTGAATTTCTTTCTTTCTTTTTTCTCCAGGAAAGGTGTCAGGGTGAAATCCATGTTTACTTTGAAGGTTTCTTCCAGTCGACATTTTTGCTTCAATTAATTAAGATCATTAGATGCTAAACAAACATTTGACTTCAAATATATGTAGGGGCCTATGTGACTGCAAGGGTGAAATTCAATATACAGTAATCCATTCTTGACGATAATAGTTGCTTCAGAGACATGCCTCTGGTTGCTTCAACCTTGAAAACAGTCCGTGTGGGATTTGTGAGCTATGGATTGTAGAGGCAAATCACTAGAACTTTGAAATATTGCAATTTGGGCAATTTCTGATTGAGTTCACTTGTGTTACATAGCTGCAAGCTTCACGTGACGTGGGGACATTTGGTGATTTGAGTTTAAATCGTGAAGTTGGAGCAGCCTAATAATGTAGGCACTTTGAGGTTGAGATAACCATGACAGATCAAGTTGCATGAATACAAATTGAAAGAAATAGAGAGAGAGAGAGAGAGAGAGAGGGAGGAGGGAAAAGAGAGAGAGAGAGAGGAATTATAGCAAACGAGTGACTGAGAGAGCTGCCTAACCTGTCCCAAATTCTAGAATTTGTTAGTCATTTATTGTATTATCCAGCTTGGTATAAAAGAGGTGTATATCACCTTACCGCTCCCCCCCCCCCCCCCCCCCCGAGGCTCAGGGTTAAATGCTTTTAATTCAACGTTGCGCTTGTTAAAAATTAAGGGGAAACAAAAACATATGACTGACAAACTAATATACATAGCCCCCCCCCCCCCCCCCTGAAAAAAATTGAACCTAGAACCATGCCTGTGCCCTTTTCTCCTTACTTTTCTTTCACATAATTTTCAGCTCATATACATTTATATATATATATATATATATATATATATCTCTCTCTCTCTCTCTCAGAGCCAATTTTTAAGTTCAGTACAAATTCTGTACCTAATTTTAAAACATATTTATTTTTCTTTCTTGTTTAAAACATTTTGATTTTTATTTCTCCCTTCTTTCTTTCTTTCTTTCTTTCATTTTTTGACAAATAGTCATTCAGACATTGGTTTTCCTTCTAAATTGTTGAGGTATACCGGTAATATTTACCAGCACGAGTATTTCTCTTTAAAGAAATATTTTGAAATAAACCGCATTCATTTATGCACAAAAAAGAGGAAGAGTACAGAGGAAGAGACAGACATAATTACAGTTGATATTACACTTGTACTGCTGCATGTCGCCCAGAAGTCAATGTTGCAATTGGTTCTTTCTCTACGGCTAAATTAGAGAAAAGCAGAAAGATAGAATTGAAGAGAGATAGGGGACTGTAAATACCAAATTTACCAGATACTCGTACTCGTAGTAAAGTAGCCTAGGCTAATTTACCGCTTATTTGGACACGCCCTCTTTTACACGTGGACCTATAGTATACACCGATACGGGCGAATTTTCATGGATGTGAGCCCTCTACGTTTATCATTACACGCTGGGGGGCTTCTATCAGCTTGCGCTTTCATCTTGCATGCAACGATCATTGCTTTCTCACAGACAAACCACTTATTATTCCTTGCCGCTTTCGGACATTTCAACTTCATTTTGTCTAAATTTATTTCATTTACGATGGATGAATGGGTAGATGATGTCCGTCATTGGCGAGTTTTGCGTGCGTTTTCGGCAATCGAAGTTTGGGAGACGCCGTTGTAACGGTGCCCCACATATTCATTATCGTGTATGTTAACATGCAGATGATTTTATTGAATTGAAGAGAGTGAGAGACGGAATGATTTAGAGTTAGAATATAAATAATTCAAGGAATTTTAGCTAGCTGGAGCAGAGTTGTGAGTTCGATCTTACGGTACGGAGGCACTCTCACCACACCGCCAGTAGATGCGGGCCTAAGTACGAACGAGCTCTCGCTCATTCAACTTTCCCATTCAGGTGCTATCCAGAAGCCCCCCAGCTGCCCCCCAACTGTAGCGCCACTTACGGCGGATTGCGTGGAAGGTCGCCCAAAGTGTATTTGTGTATCGCCGGAGGCGTTATTTTTTTATGCGGCACAGATTGGGGCTTTTTTTTAAAAGGGGTCTTGATTTACAGACTAATACTGGTCGTGTGCGTACGAGACAGTATAAGTAGTAGAGGTCTGTTTTTACATTTAATCCACTACCGCATGGAAAATCATTACATCAACAATTAAAATCAAATTGGAAATCTGAAGAGGAGGCAGAACGTCAATAAGGAGAACATCACAATAATTAGTCAATAAAACTTAACTAACTTAAACGAACAGGAATGTTATCTAAACACATAGTTCGCGATGGATATACAAACTTCTTCGCAGCGCTAATGCGCTAGCTAACATGACTAGTCTCACGTATGTGCAGACACTATTCAGAAGGGAAAGAACGTACTTCCCATAGGTTTAACACGCGCCATGCCCCAATCTGTGCCGCATAAAAAAATAACGCTAGCCGGAGCTAGTCGATTGTTATTGCTTTTGGTTTACACTGGTCAACGTTGTTAAAGGTATTACAAAGTTTTGGGAAATTTTGAAAATTGGGTGGATAGTGATTCTTTACAATTTTGATATATTTGGATGCCCCTGTGGATGTATTATAAGCACTAGAAAATTTAGCCCCTAAAACACTTCTGCTTTCGAGAAAAATTGAATATAAAAATTTACCGGTGCTCCCGGTAAATTTTGATGAATTTCAAATAGCGCCTATGGCCGTACAATGGTAGCTGCGAGAATGAAAATCTCAGAATATGTAGTTGTGATATATAATTTCCAAATTGAAGTAGCTAATTGGTCGATTTTAGTCAAGAAACAATGTTTTATGGCTTAATTAAAATCTTGACCTTAAGAGGGAGCTATACAACATAAAGAGTGTATTATTTACAATTTCATAACTTTAGGCTCGATTTCAACCGCGACAACGATCACTGAATATTGTAGGATCGCATATGCATCCAATATGTTCATTTGAACCAAATTCATGACCCCATACTAAAACTTCGTATTACCTTTAATGTTACACACCGGGCCGCGCGTTTCCGTTTTACACCCTGCCCTAGGCTTTTCTCCAAACGCGCCACCGGGCCGGGGGTATGTATTTCTCCTAAATGTCATATTTCATGTCATTGTTAACTTTTCTCTAAACTTTTTATTTTGGTTAATTCTCTTAGATGGCATGATCTCATAATCGTACACTTTAGTGGTCATGCATGCATGCATAATCACATGTAAGTTTACAAATAAAAAGTTCTGCTGAGGAGATCTCAATCAGCGGGAAGCAATCGATCAAGTACGGCAAACTGCTGGCCTGGGATTTCCGGTTGCTGTGTCGACTTTCTGTTGGAAGTTCGAACGATCCTCTGAGCTCTAGCTGCACCTGGAAGCCGGATCGAAGGACCGGACTGAGCTGGCTGCCGTATTTGCATTTGTTGCTGCTGGAGCGTCCGTAGGCTTTGATTTTTATGGAGGGATTAAGTCTGAAAATCTTGGTGGTAATAATTAATGACATGGCATTGAAAGTTATCTTTTAATTCCACAATAGGCTCCATGTTATTAATTTTAAACTGTTAAACTTGTTAACTTTACGTTAATTTGTTTGACTCTTCTAGATCTAATTTTATTTTTTAAATATGAATAAATCCTTTACTGATTACTGATTTTGCGAGCCTATAACTATTAGATCTATATAGACCAATCTGTTTTACATTTTTGGATTCTCTTTTTTCTTTTGGGAATGCTCAATGCAAAATGATTAAATCCTGTAACACTAGTAACAATTAATTCAGTGGCCGGGTCAGTGTAAGATCCGTTAATTATGAATAGGACTTTATCTGTGAATTTTAAGTTCATAAACTTTCATTCACAGGATTGTTAATAGAGTAAATCAGCCTTGAGGTGACAATGGGTATGGTCATTGGTGAATTGGATCCCCCCCCCCCCCCCTCTTAAAAAAGTGGGTTTGGCAGGATGCCAGGAATAGGTGATTTTTTTTTTTAACTTGTTATTTTTCAGATTTAGCTATGACCCTCCCCTATCAGATATTCCTGAATCCTAAAATCTAATTATCATCTAACATGGAATTTCTTAAAAATGCAGCGAATTGATCAACTTTGTATCATAATTGATATCCAAAAGTGAGCAATTTTTAAAAAGGATGCAATAGAAAGCTGACTTCATCAGTAGTTTTGCTGCCAGTTAAACTCCATGTCCCCCTTTCTATCTGATGCAATGCTTTTCACTGTACTTATCTGAATCTAGGCCTACCATTATACCACTGTATGATGTTATTGATTAAAAGATGCACTAAAACAGAATAGTTTACAAAAGTATTACAAAACTATAATAACTATATAATTAATCTCTTTTTTCCCCCTCAGAATTTGGCATCATGACACTGGGACACCTCTTCATTTTTGTATGTGCTATGAACATCCCTCACTTTGTGGAACCTGGGGTAGATTTTGACGTGCCTGACCTCGATCCTCGAAATCCATTTTATCGGGGCCGGCCTGCAAATACTTTTGGCAAGCACGCCGAGCCGACGCCTTACATAGACGAAATACATGTAGGTCCAGAAGATAAGTTCCCTAGCCCCGCAGAGTTTCATGAGAGATACATCAAAGAGTACAAGCCAGTTGTTTTGCGAGGAGCAGCAAAACACTCTTCAGCCTATCATCTGTGGACGGAAGATTACCTGAAGGAAAATTATGGAGATCTGTCTGTCAGGCTTGAAGCTAGGTAATGCATAAGAGATCTTATTGGGGGGGGGGGGGGGGTATCTCCACTTGTTGAATATAGAGCTTGTTACCTTTAATATTGAATTGCAATTGTTGTCATTAAATTTATTTATTTAAACTTTTTTTTTCCTTATGCTACTTTTACTCTACCTTTTTAATTCAGTCTCGGTTTCATCTCTCTATCTCTCTATTTCTCTTCATGTCTCTGTCTGCATGCAGGTGTGTGTTTGTGTGTCCGTCTCTCTCTCCCATTCTAATACGTTAATATTTTTTTTCTATTTCATTTTCAGATTTCATCTTACACACTTTTCGGTGCAATAATCGGAAGAATTGTTTTAACGTTAGACAAACCTCGAATTCATTTGACTTTATGCTGTGAATATAATAGAAAATGAAAGAAAAAGAGAGGGAGTAGGGGGATGTTATAGTTATTTTGTTTTCTTCCATCTATCCATTATAGGAGTGAGGATAACTCCAGGATACCGAGCGGAGTGGGAGGGATGGGACGGGACTCCATTAGAAACTTCCTGGACCGGTACCAGACCCTGGACGGGTACATCATATCACAAGTCCCTGCTCCAATGGAGAAAGACATCTCATTTCCTCCGTTCTTGACCTGTGGATCACTGGCACAGGGTGTCCAGGTAGGTACAGGGTTCTTGCCGTGGCAAACATCTATCCCTCGATCTTGGTGCTAATATTAATGATGGAGGGTTCCAGGGAACCCTCTGAAAACCTTCTCCTGACAAGGGTACAAACAAAGCTATGGTGAAGTGTGACGTCATCAAATAACTATTTTTTTAAACATTATAGAAACCAGAGCAAAATAACACTGAGTTCCTATAGGAAATCTATTTATTCAGATGGTCATATCTCAGCCAATATTTACCATATTCAATTGGTTTCCGACATTTGGACATTATTTTGTATCCTCCTTCTGAAAATAAAGTTAAATTGAGAAATTGTAAAAATAGATTGTTATGATGTCACAGCTTCGTTACTCTATTAGAATTGTTTGTCACATGTATACTTTTGTGACAATTACTCCTAAACTAACCAAATTCCTAATTTTAACCATGGACCCAACAAAAAACCTAACCCTAACCCTAAACCTAACCTAAAACCACAATGTAACCCTAACCCTAACTATACTTAAGATAAAATACAGAGCAATTGTTGCTGGAGGAAATGTTAGGGTTAGATATATATGTCAATACATATTTTCAATTTACAAAGTTGTTTTGATTCTCCCAAATTACTGCCCTGCATGGGATGTTCCAATGCCATAATACACTCAAAGTGTACATGGGCATTGTTTCAGGAAACCATCATAAGTACAAGTTCACCAACATCCCATTGACACGCTTGTTAATTTTCAACACACGTGTCTCAATAGCGTGTTGGCAAACTTGTACTTATGACGGTTTCGTAATAGGATGTCAAACAGTTTCCTGTCAACAAAGTGTCAAGTAGCCACAGGAAATAGGCAAGGAATCTTTGAAGGTGGCAAAGGAAAGCTGCATTTTTCGCGATAATTTTTTAATGCAAGAAAATCTTGCACTGATATTTTGTGACTTTTCTCTTTCAAGTATTGCGCATCTTTTGAAAGAAATTTTTCGAAAATCGGACCTACCATTACAAAGTCACGTGTCCTTTTGTCTTTGCATGTCAGTCCGAAAATCGCTCATTTTTGTGATTTGTGTACAAAACATATGGAAATCTCATTTTTCAAATAAGGAGATAAAACATTGGTTATTTGGTCTTGTTTATAGTTTAGGTGTTTATTTTGGGGTCAAAATAGTTGAATTATAGTTGGAAATGAAGTAAAAGAACAAAAACAATAAAATACATAAGTTAAAAAAACAAAGAAATACATAAGAAATTATCAAAACAATAGATAACATAAGGAATAACCCTGGTTTTTCAATTTTTTGTGTTGTATTATTATTCCAAATGGTCTAACAAATATATGTAGTGAGAAAGGATGGTTAAATATGAATGTGTAATTTATGGGCAAAAATGTGAATTTTATGACCTTATTTGCATAAATTACCATAAATATGCAAATGTAAAATGCAAAGGGTATGCTGAAAAAACACCTGGGCCTTTTCTGCAAGATTAGGTTTTTTATGAACGAATGGATATACATGTAGATGTAATACTCATTTTCTGGACTGCTGATCATTGAACAATGCTTGATTTTTGTTATCCTCACTTGAATCCCAAGGAAGTTCACTTGTTTGTGAGTTCTCGAGGAGGGAAGACTTTGCTTCATCGTGATCCGTACAGCTCTGTCCACTGTGTATTCAATGGAACCAAGCAGTGGATCATTGCTGACCCAAATCAGGTAAGCAGTGCTAGTCACATAATTAATAATAATAATAATAACAAATATTCTGTTCTTGTAAAGCGCATATCACATTACCGTCTCTTGGAAAATTATTTCTCCGGCTTTAGCATGGCTGACATTATGGCGCTCTAGCATTTCAAGGACTTAATTCCTTAATTCCTTTCAGGTACCCATTTACCTCACCTGGGTTGAGTGTGGCAATTGTAGATTAATGTCCTGCAAAGGAAATTAGAATTACAACTAAATAATATATCTCATCCAGAAGTTAAAATGCTTCTTTGTTCATCAGAGCTATTTTAGTGAAATCTCTTAGCATTGTGTAATTTTTTTTCTTTTTCTTTTTCTTATTTTTTTTTTTTTTTTTTTTTTTTTGCAGGTCTTATCAGAGTTTAGTTTTCATTTTGTTTTTTTTATATGAAGTTGGTTTGAGGCGCCCCTCACAAAAGAAATGGCAATACATACACAGTAATAAAAATCAATCATTATCGGACTGATGTTATTTTATGCATCAAGGCATGATATCCAATCTTTTTTCCCATCAATATCCTTTTTCTTGTTATCAACAGATAACACAAATCAATATACCGTAAGTAAAGTGCCGAACAGTGATAACAATGCTTATTTCAATGCTTTTAATTCTCTGAATTGTATATCGTGAAATATTCCTCATGATATTCATACAAGAAAGTTTTTATTGATGGCTATAGTTTACAAATATACAATGACACTCGAGGATCTAGCTGAAACTATTCGCATCGAAGGAACATCAACTAGTTCTATTCTAGAAAAGTACTGATGTTCCTGAGTGCGAATAGTTTTAGCTTGTTCCGAGAATGAGTCATTTTATATTTGTTTTATATCCCTTCCATCTGTATTATTCCTTGTACACTTCTGTAATAACATGACCCTTATATTCACATTCACATCTACATTCAGATCGAAAAGAAATAAAGAAAATTGCACGGCTCAAATGAAACATTGAAGGATGTAAAAATGTTTAGCTGGCGCTAGTGTAGTGCAGTTATCGCACAGCGTAAATTGCATATGGCTTGAGCTAGCGCCGTGACACCGCGGGGGTTGACCGCGCAGAGGCATTGGAAATCATGTACGCGCTCGCTGGGAAAACGCAAAGTTCAAGAATATGCGTTTTTTTATTGTGACGTCACGCATAGTACCCTTTTTCCCTAGGGAAAAAAAGGTACTATGCGTGACGTCATCAATAAAAATGAACTATTTTGATCTAGTCGGCAGGAAACGTCTTTTACAGTCAAACTATTCTTTTTCTTGTTGTGTACACACCTAATGCAACAATCTTACGATAAGGGATATAATATTATATAGCTTATAAATCACACATATCTGTCTGGCTCTGAATTGTTCTGCTTTGGTAAATGAGCTTATCAAACGTATCTTTTCTCAGAAAGAACAGCTGTACATGTCTGAGGACTCACGCTATGAGTTTGGGGGATACTCAGAAGTAGAGGTAGATGATGTAGACTATAAGAAGCACCCCAAAGTCAAGGACCTACTATTTGACAGAGTGATTCTTGAGAAAGGAGACTGCATCTACATGCCAAGCGGTGAGTTATTACTAAAAACTCACTCATGATTGGTTGCAGTTCTTTTGTTCCTGATTTATTCTTGCTATCTCACATACTTTAATAAAAAAAAAGTGTGCAATAGTTTCCAGTATGTACATGTATACAACAATTTTACCTCAACTTATTCTGTTCTACCCTAGCTGCACTGGAATCCCTGTTTAAGGTAATACCTGTGATTCCATTATGAAGTCATTTTGACTAAACTGTTTTTCTACTCATTTGGTTGTGGCACGTAGACATTTACTCCCATGCACAGCAGTCTGTTTTATAGGTCAGTGATCTGGTACTGTGTGGGGGCTTATTACTTGCCTAAAGATTATGGCATGTACCTACTTCTGTACTTAAATACTCAAATGTATTCCATTCACAAATACATTACCGAATATATCCAGTTTTTTGTTTGACAAAGACTTCTACCTAGATATTATCAAGAGGTCAGTGACACAAAGACGTAATTCCATTTTGGCCATTTTTGAGAAAAACTTGGTTTATGTGTCACAGAGCACTTGGGCCTTAAGGAGTTAAGTCTATATTTCACTAGCTATTGACTTCAATGGGGTGTTGGGTGGAGTTAAGTCTTTGTGTTTCCTGGAAAGCCCATATTTGTTTAACTTTTTGATATCAAATACTCATTTTGGCAAAATATGGAGTCACGTCTTTGTGTCACTGAACCCTTGTTAAAGACTTTTTGAATTACAACAATGTCTATTTCTAACGAAATCTTCCCTCTGTATATTTTCCAGGCTATACACATCAGGTGAGGTCAAGGGGTTACATGAACAGCGCCGTATCCATCTGGTTCTCACACTATTTGACCTTTGACCCCTCTGGCTGTGAGGAATCTGAGAATGTTTTCAAACCCATGAGTGAGTCGTCTGTACTGTGGCGCTACAGTGGTCAGGGAGAGCTCGCGCAAGGCCATATGGATGTCCACATGCTGAGGTACTGATTTGTATGAGGAACATATAGTGTCTTCTTACAAAATACTTTTTAGGTGTTGATTAACAGAGCTTCGTGCAAAAGTACAATTTTTTAATTAAGACACTGAAATGTTATTGTGCTCTAACAATATACTCTGCAGAATACTGCTCCAGGTTTTATTTTGTCAAAGATAGAGTTTAGGTTAGGTGTAGAATTTGGTTTTAGGTTAGGTTCAGGGTGGGGTTAGGCCTTGGTTATCTAGGTAAACATTTAGTGTAGGATATTAACCGGAGAGCAATTGTCGATTGAGCATGCGTCGTACAATGGATATTGGGATACAGAATTTCCCTGTATAAATGCTCACAGAAGTATGTGCATTAAATCACTCCATCTTCAAGCATTCTGTGTAATGGATATGATGCTGTATAAGTACTCACCCTGTTCTTTATTAATGTTACTATATCAAATTTCATTGAAATTTCCTTCTTTTCAGAACTGTCATGAAGACAACTGCTGATAAAACCGGCAAGATTTGGTTGGAGGAATTTACAAGTAATTTCATACAGGTATTACTTACCCCTTTTTTCTCTGTACCAGAAAATGTGATGCCCATAATACATTATGACCCCCAAAATATGACAAGTTTCTATTTTGCACAATCTGAAAATATATTGATGACACTGGGCAGTTCATTTTGTTGGTGCATTGTTCAGATACGTGGTATGATTTTAAGTGAATGTGATTGAACCCAAGGAAGGTAGAATTTGTTGTACATTTAAGACTATGCATATTGCAAACGGAAAAAAACACATCACAAAGTGAGTGACGTCTATGCACTAAGGCCCGAATTCACAAAGGAGGTTTGTCGACAAACCTTGGTTTTCGTACGTCATATGACGCGTTTTACGCATTTTTTACAAACCTGGTTTGTAAAGAACAAAAGGAGGTTTGGCGAAACAAAAGGAGGTTTGAGCTCAAACCTTGGTCTGAACTCAAACCTTGCTTTGTGAATTCGGGCCTATGTGTTTGAGGTTATAATGCAGTAATACACCCTTTCATGTTAGAAGTTTTGAATTTTTAGGTAGATGATTTGATATATTTTTTGTTTACAATACAATCATTTGAAAACACAATTAGATATTGATAAGATTGGTGATCTTGTTATTCTTCTTCTCCTTTTGTGCAGGGAGAACTGAATGATGAAGAAGTCCTCGTGAACCAACGTTTAGAGGTAAGTTCTTTTATTAGATGGCTAGAAATAAAAATCTAATGATTGGAAGATGATGTAATTTCTCACAGAAAATATTTTTTGTTTTGCCTATTTGAGTTTTATGTTAAATTGTTTTATTTCAAACTTTTATTTAGATGTGTAAATGTGTAATCGGCGCCAATTAACAATACTTGATAACGATAAACAGGGTTACATCACGAAAGAGGGGCTCGATTCTTTACCCCTGCAAACTCTAAAGAATCTTGTCAAGTCTATTAATCATCATTTATTTCTCCCATTTAAATCCAGTTTATCAAGATTCTGGAGACCGATGAACGAGGCTATATCACGGTAGGGGAGCTGGATTCCTTACCCCTGCAAACTCTTAAGAATCTTGTCAAGTTTGTTAATCATCATTTATTTCTCCCATTTCAATCCAGTTTATCAAGATTCTGGATACCGATGGGCGGGGCTATATCACGGTAGAGGAGCTGGATTCCTTACCCCTGCAAACTCTCAAGAATCTTATCCGGTCTATTAATCATCATTGATTTCTCCCATTTCAATCCAGTTTATCAAGCTTCTAGATACCGATGGGCGGGGCTATATCCCGGTAGAGGAACTGGATTCCTTACCCCTGGAAACTCTGAAGAATCTTGTGGAGATCATTGACCCTTCGGATGCTTCCAACCGAGAAGATTTTGAGTACAATCACTTAGACAAGGATGCTATCTGGTAAGTTCATTTTTTTCATTTCATTTTTATTTTTTCATTTCCAACAAAATGCAATGTAAAATGTATACAAAACATAGTTAAATTTGTAATAAACAAATCTTAATAGTAATTTATACATTTGAGGAAGACAAAAATTTAATTTTGAAATTTAACTGCATTTATATTTTGAGGAAATTGAGGAAGTTATTATTTATATATTGATATATTAGAGGGTTACCAGACATAGTAAACTTTTGTTTTATGTGTGTGCGTGGGTATCAAGGACATTCGTAAGAAATGTACCTTCACTTTGTCGGCAACTCGCCAAAGGAGGACGTCTTCTGTTAAAAAATCCTGTGAAATTTTTAAAATTTTGAGCTCTTTCATAGAGGGGATATGTTTCTTTTAAAAAAGTAGGTCCTCGGTTATGCAGTAAATTTCCAGATCGTCATCGGGTTGTTATATTCCTACAAACATTTGTCTTTGAACATGTAATAACAGTCCTCGTACGTATGAGTTTGCAATCCACACCAGATATGTTTGTGTGTGTGGGTATGAATTCACTGTAATAGAAATTATTATATACCTCACTTAAGTAATCCAGCCATCTGATTGGTCGAAATTGCATTCATAAACGTCAACTGTTCCTGTAAAATTCCCGGTAACCATGCTTAAAACATTTAATATTTTTAATAACCATGGTTATTAAAAAAATAGGTCAGTCTCCATGGTTACCCCATAGGTTTACGTGTTAAAAAATGGTTTGAGCGATGGAGGATACCGTATGTGTGCGAATAATTGGTCGGTAATTTCAATACAATTGAATCTCGATCGATCTTACCGACAATTTTATCTTGCATTGTTGACATGAAGACGAAAATAAACTTCCAAAAACAAAAAAAACAACATCTGCCGATAGATCTTGATCTAAGTTCGTGCCAATATGCATTGCAAAAGTAAAAGAAGAGTCCGTATATGGAGCTTTTGCGAAGCATTCATCACACGCGAAGCCGGTTTCAATCCATTTTAATGTATATATTGTACAAAACTGCCATGCATGTTAATAACGCGCGATGGCCGAGAGGTCTGAGGCGCTGACTTTAGATACATCACCTTTTGTACGCAAGAGTTCGAATCTCATCTTCGACCAAAAAAAAAAGTATTTTTTATTTTTTATTTTTTAGTCTATTTTTTTTCGGCATATAAAGGTATTAATGACTGCTTTAATATTCGAGAAATAGTTGTTTTTATACGCAAAGCAGTCATTAATACTATAACATCTCTGGATTACAAGTAGTTTTAAGTTAACCCCATACTACTCTCTTAACCCCTCCCCCCCCCCCCCCCTCCACCCCCGGTAAAAACCTGGTCTGAAATAGCCTGGTTAGAATAGGGCTAAGTATCCATACAAGTGTTGACATTAACAAGTCATACTCATAAGAATAGACTTATTTAGAATGTATAATTGAGAACAGAAAATTGAAGAATGTTGAGATTATTCATATGCTACAATGTGTTGTCTCTCTTTAATACCATATCTTACGATATTTTCTCATCTCGTATGATATTAACTGTCAATAAATTAATTAATGATTTTGAGCAAGTAATAGAAAATAGTTTCTATTTTGTTATTTGCAAGCAAGGAAAAGGAATATGTCTTCAATTTATGCTTGCCAACATAGAATGTAGTTTGAATAAGTCGCTGACAGTGTGAGATTTGAATGAGGGTTGTCACCTCACCCCCTCCGCCCTCCCCCCCCCCCCTTCAACTTCCTGCTAGACATGCCCCTGCTTTTACTGCATGAATCAAATGGGTGTTATCTTTGTGCTTTCTTGTTTAGGGGTGCTCTAGCCATGCTACGAGGTAAAGACCCTTCTCAGCCATTCAAGGGATCAGACTTCATCAAGATTTACACCATCTACATTGGAGGCAGTGAGAAGGTCGCAAGAGAGGTAAGACTTTCCACCTATGGTATCATGAGGAGGCGCGATAGCTCAGTCGGTAGAGCAGTGGTCTCATGATCCGGTGACCCGGGTTCGAAACCAAGTCGATGTGCTATAGGGACCTTTGGTAAGGCATTAATCCTCATTACCATGTCCCTCGAAGAGAACCTAAAGCCGCTGGACGTCTGGTTGCTTACTCACAAGCATTTATGCTTTCTTAGCAGTCAGGTAAAATAACCACCACCACATGAACTCGCCTGTTTAGTGAATAATTTGTCTGTTGAATCATTATTCTTAATTTTCTTTTCCAAATGAATTAAAAGGAGGCGCGATGGCTCATTGGTAAAGCAGTGGTCTCGTAATCGAGAGGTCCCGGGTTTAAAACCAAGTCAATGCGCTTGTGCGCTTTGGTAAGGCTTCAATCCTCATTACCAAGGCCCCAGGAGTGGACTTAAAGGCGTCTATCCCCTATTTTATGTGTTTATTATAAGTTTTGGTTGTTAATTTTTAGTCAGACAATGGTGCGCCTAGAAATACCTGTACTTAGTTCCTAATAAATGTTGTGTATTATTATTATTTGCTTACTAAAATGCGTCTGTCCCCATGTTTGCTTACTTACAAGCATAAACATGATTTCTTAGCAGTCAGGTAAGGCAATCCTCAAACATCCATTCCTCAATGAATACTTACCTTGAGGACTATTATTTCTCATCCTATTTTTATTTTTCAAATTTTTTCCATGACAAAACAGATCCTCGCCATGTTGGATCCAGAAGGTACTAATCAGATAACCGCCCGCATGATCATGCAGAACGGTGACGAGGCCTTTGAGAAGTTCAACAAGGGTTTCGCCCACGACCCCACCATCGAAAACCTGTGGTACAAGCGGTTTGCAGCCAAAGGCATCTTCCAAGAATTTGGCGTGACGCATTTCAACGCCCCCGACGAGGAATCAACTAAAGCAGAGGAAGATGAAGTGGAAGAAAAGTGCGAGAGGTCCGGAAAGATGGAACAAGGTGAAATCGTGTACGTAGAAGATCTGGATAGTATGCCGGTGTGCGATGAAAAGAAATTGCAAGAGAAAGAAGAGGAGGGAAGGAATGAAGAGCTGAATCAAGTGGAAGAGGAAGAGAAGGAGCACAACGTTAACGGTGAAGAGGATAAGCATGACGAATTATAATGTAGAGTTATTTGGTACTAATATGCTTGCTGCTGAGAGTTCAGAGGTCACGAACATAATGTACAGGTACATGCATAGTGAGTTTCCATCTTTAGGCTTTAAAAGCCTAATTTTTGTGAAGAGAAGCAATATTGAGTTTTGTTTGATTTTCTTTGCTACAGATATTTTTGTTGTACAGGGTGGGGTATATATTTGCTTATTTACTGTAAAAGTTTCATACAGAGCTGCCATATTATCTTCAAGTGAAATCATTTTCCTTTATGAAAATGTACACATAGTTTATACAAGCTGGGACTATGGGGATTGATCACTTTGTTTTGAAAGTTCGTTTTTATATATTGATGTTCTTCTTACGGTAACCTCTGTAATGTGTTTCTGGCATTGTGGCCTCTTTCTACCTTGCCTTATTCGCTGTAGAGGTCTCTTGATACACTATACCAGTGTGGAGGACTCCTTTAAAACTATTCTTCTTGGTTCAGTGATATCAATGATTTTACAGCTATGCAAACATAGAAGTATTATTCGTATTGACGGTGAACATTCATTGTCCCTTCTTAAACACTGTTCATGTTTGTTAATCTGCCAGGGCTGTTTCATCTCGTATTCTTTAATAGCCAGATTGATAAAGCATTTCTACTGTATTCATGACAATGTCAAAATATCAGAAAGCACATTTGTTTGCTGGCATTTATGAATTGGTCAGATCTACATCTTGGGTTTCCTAGAATCCTGGATCCAATACCACTATAAGGCCTAAACAAAAAAGATGTTGTATTGCCCTTTAGGTACCAAAACATGGGTCGGGCAGTCGAAAACCTTTTTTTTTTTTTTACTTTTTTTTTCTTTTTCTCCCTCTTTGGGCCGATATATCCCAGTTTTGAATGCTTTATTACATTTTCTTGCTAAAAACTGTAAAGAAAAAAAAAAGTTTTTTTTTTTTTAACAGCCGACCATAGATTTAAAGATTTTGGGGTCGGTCGCAAAGGGCAATACAACATCGTGTTTTTTTAGGCCTAATCATCAACCCTTAGTGTAATATATGCAACTAGCCATTAAAGTCTATGCAGGTCTGTGCTTCTGTGTTATTTGTATATTTAAGGATCAAGCAGTTGAAGAGATCACTAGCCTATATGCAAGCTTCTTATTTGTATAAATTGTATTGTTCACTGTCCATTGGCATTGAATATGCCTGTCCCACCTTTTTGTGCCTGTACATATTTCTGTGTTTATTTTTGCTCTTATATGTGTTGCCAAAACTTGTGAAATCAGTACTACCATTTCTTTCAAGTGATATCATTCCAAAACGTAAACTTTGATGTACAACATTAACTTTGTATTTGGTAGTAAAGAATGTCATTATTGTAATTGGGTGGAAGAGGACTTTAAAAGGTGAGATTTTGCAGTAAAAAAATTGTTAAATCGAGCCAATCATTTAATGGGTCTTTCAGGTAGTCAAGGAAATGTATTTTCTGAAATGAGATTTTCACTTTTTTTTCCGTTTTTTTCCCAACAAGATTATTGGAAAGTGTTACAAAGGTCAGGGTTTAGAAAGATTACATAGTTTGATTTGGTATATATATATGTACACTGCATAACTTCATGTTTGCAAATAAAATATTACTTTGAGATTTGTCATTTAATACCTGCCTGATAATATTATTAGAATCATACATTGAATTGTTGTAAATCTTTTGATGGTTTAAAGCGTACATGGACAACTTATAATCTCATAAACCCATAAGTTGTATGAATATCATTACCTTTGAGGTCATATACCTTGCAGCTTCTCAGAAAATAATTATAAAAAATCAAAACCTCATTTATGTCTATTTTGTAAAACCTTAACTTCTAGGACCACTTTGCGGCATTAGTTGGTTGATGCAAGATTGACCCCAGCAGCATCTGTTTTTGTCAACGGTATCAAGTTTAGGATTATGTCTCAATTTGGTTTGGTATGTGTTAGGGATAGGTATAGTGCTGGGTGTATGGTTAAAGTATACAGCATAGTTAGAAATATAGGAATTAGGAGTATAGACATTGCTCATTTAATGCTAAGTCCTTCCCACCTAATTTAGTGGAACACTGACAAGAATACATGTTTGATGTGTCACACAATATCAATGTAAATATGTCTTTCAAATTCCCATGCAAAAAGCAAGTTCTCTATGGTGAATTGTTATCAACCTATAATAACTTCACAACATCAAAATTGTTGTAAATAGCATATCTACATGTACATTGTGGCTAGCTATTCTAAACTCAGTACCGGTACTTTAGACACAAATTTCAGTTTTATAGTAATAATGAAATTAGTTCTTATACTGCATTGTGTATCTTATTCAGAGTACTATATAATTCAATTTGTGAGCGTTTATAAAAGGAATCAAAATATATTTTTCCTAAGATCAGTACTATTTTTGTATTCAAACATTGCAACGAGGTGAACAGAATAAAAATGACTTTATAGGGATTGCAGTTTGTTCTGGGTGTATAAACTTCAGCTAGAGATATATATTTTGTTTTTAAATGTGCGGTTTGGTTAGTTGGTGAAGTGATAGACTGATTGATTGAATAAGCAATTGATTGATTGACTGATTGATTGACCAACTCATTGATTGATTGGTTGGTTGATTGACTGATTGATTGAATGAATGAATGACTGATTGATTAAATAAGCAATAGATTGATTGACTGATTGATTGACCGAATAAATGTTTGATTGGTTGGTTAATTGATTGATTGACTGACTGACTGATTGATTGATTGATTGAATGAATGACTATTTGAATAATTAATTGACTGACTAATTGTCTGATTGGTTGGTTGAATGACCGACTAATTGTTTGATTGGTTGGTTAATTGACTGATTGATTGAATAATAATTTGATGAACGATGAATGGAGTAATTGAATGGATAATGGAGAGGTATTCAAAAGTTTAATTTATAGATTGATTGCTGTTTTATTTCTTGATAATCAATATGGAAGTATGCCATATTTAGATTACATCAGGTTACATCTGATGCCGTTTTAAATTTTGTTCAGCATTTTGCAAAAATCACTGTTCTCCCATGTGTTCCTTTTGGAACATTAGTAACTCATTTAGTTATTTTCCCTTTATGAGAATTTTTCGCACTGCGACGACACAAATCTTTTTTTTTTGCTCGCTCACTTCGCTCGCTCGGAAATAAATATTCAGACTATCCCACCCGACCGCAAAGTTCATGTATGGTGCTTAAGCAATATCAGGGACCATCTAAAGAAACAAACAAACATTGAAATCATCCCTGATAATAATCACAATGTAGGGGTATATACCAATGTTAACAATGGTATATTTTCGGCTTTGAGGTTTTCCTTTGTATGTGCCTCTTTTTTCCAGAAAGTTGAACGACTTTGAATGACGCTTCACATGTCACTTGACATTTCACAATAGAGACACTTTTTGTCTTGACTTTTGTTGTTGAAAGTAAGTTAATATAATCATCTGAGGGTACTTTATGCAGCTGTAAACTTTTTAATCGCTCTCAACTTGTTGATACCCTCACCTCCAGGACAATTATTATCAGTATTCGTCAAGTAAATATTTTCCACCCTTTCACCGAAAGGGCTTTTGCTCACTCAAGCGTAATTATTGTCAGATTTGTTGGTGTCATTTTATAGAACAGACCGTTTAATAGCTATCTACTAAGATGACTTTTGGGGGAAATATGATAACATTTATTTTGGGAGAGAAGTCTTGTTTTAACTCTTTTCTTTTTTCTTGGACGCACTGTAGAAATACGTGTGAATTTATCCTTTGAACCGACCGAAACACTATATGAAACGTTTTTATAAAACCAGTGTACATCGTATTTAACATCAGCAATACAATTGAGATAGTCAACATTAACATTTGACAGGAAACACATAAAGGAAACAACAATTGTGAATGATGATTCAGCAAAACAGTTACATCTGCAAGAAAACTGAAACTATAAAATTATGTATTTACTATGATGTCATCATGAATTTGTCTGAATCATGAATTGTATTGAATTTGAATTGTGAACTTAATTTAACCCGAATTAAGATATTTAATTTTACTACTTAGTTTGAATTATAAATTGAATGTGATTTGATTTTGTTAATTATATTTTAATTTGAATTACGAATTGAATGTGATCGGGATTTGAAATGGATTTGATCTGAATTACGAATTGAATTGGTATAAATTTTTAATTGTATTTAATCTGAATTGCGAATGAATTTAATCCGAACTTGAACTGAATTTAACTACTTAGTCTGAATTTATGAACCGAATTTTAGTCTGCATGTTGAACTATCGCATTTGTTGTTACTTATGTCCAAGTTAAATATTCTACTCTGTACCCATAATGTATCTTATTGATGTTTATAATGTGTAACCTTGTACTGACATGCAAATGAAACAAATTTCCAATCATTGGACAATAAATTTGAATATGAATATGAAATATGAATCATGTTTTATTCTTTTATATACTTTTTCTTTCTTTTCTATTCTTTTTCTTCTTTTTTTTCCTTTCTTTGTTTCTTTTTTTCTTTTCTTTTCTTTTCTTTTCTTTTCTTTTCTCTTCTTTTCTTTCCTTTTAAGTCTATTCTCTTCTTTTCTTTTCTATTCTTTTGTTTTTTTCCTTTCTTGTACTAAACAATGCAGTTTCTTTTATTTTCCTTGAACATAAATGTATGGTTCGACTTTGGGAGAAAAGCATGCATTAAGTATTGGTCAATGTCTAGAATCAATGTCCGGGCCAAAATGACATTATTATCTCAGGAATTGTCTTCAACTTGTCTTCAGGGGCAGTGAAGGATCTAGGATTCTCTGGCGGAGGAGAGGCACAAGTCCGAAATAAAGTGTCAAGTAGGGGGATGATTGACTTAAAGAAAGAAAAAAAAAGAAGAAAAAAAATGTCATCACGTTTTTTGGTAATACGTTTTCGCTAAAAACAGATAATATACGTCGCACGTTGAGTAAGTTGAGAAAACATGAAATGTGAAAGTATTTTCAGCTTTAAGCCAGGAGTGAAAGCGATAGAGGAAATGAAATATTGTTGCTCAATGCTGGGGTCCAAATATTTACTTTAGCTTTACTTTCAGTGCACAACATAGTCGTGGTGATATCCATGTTGTACCAATAAGGCAATCATATCTACATTTGTATTTTACTTGTCATTTCCTGTAGAAGGCAATGAATGATATGTTGGTACTTGGAATTGGTTGGATACTGGTAATCCCTTTGGCAGCTCTCCAAGGGAGCTATACTGGGATATAAGGCGAGTAACTGCAGGGAGTGCCACTTTTACCTTGTCAGTTATTATAATAAAGATTGCCAAAGCGAAAAGTCATTTTCATTTGAGATATTGCTTCATCGAGCAGTTTTGATCATTCTCCTGACGTCATTTTGATAAAAGAAAATAAGTGGAACCAACTGATTATATGACTGTTGTAAAACATCGGGCAAAGGAACAAACTAAATTAATAATTTAATCTAGTTGTATTTAAAAAAAAAAAATTTGTTGATTATTCTGTAACTAGCTATGGATACCTACCGCATGCTGTTCTACATTGTACCGATAATACTGGTTTTGGCTTATACATCTCAGTCTGAAGGGCAGTCATCTGGTAAGTTGAAGAGATAATTTTGGATATCTTCTTCGCCTATATCATTATATTATATTCATATTACTATAATATTGTTATCGTCACTACTATCATCTTTATCATCATTAATAATTTTATTTTCATTTTTATAATTCATTTTATTTTTAGTTAATACCATTATGTTTTGTATTGATATCGTTAATTATTATTATTATTATCATCATTAATTTTACTATAATAACTAGTGATCAGTAGTAATGGAATATGTGTAGTAGACAGTGGCGGATCCAGGAGGCCCGGGGGGACCAGACCCCCCCCCCCTGGGAAAAAAGCGTGTAAAAAAACGTGATTTTTAGCTCTTTTTTTTTTGGGGGGGGGTGCAAATTTTCCAATTTTCGAGAGCAAAAAAAAAAGTGCTCACAACCCCCCCCCCCCCCCCCCCCCCCCCACCTGAGCGACTTTTCGGCCGGCGCGATTTTCAAATTTTCGGGAGCAAAAAAAAAGTGGGCCCCCTCCCCTAAGAAATCCTGGATCCGCGCCTGGTATTAGAAGCAGTAAATAAATAAATAAACCTAATGTAAAATACATTCCATAATTTTATCAGCTGAAAAAAAATTGCTCTGAAATTTGTTATAGAGGTGCGTTCTAAACCTATTTAACTAAAATAATTTGTATAATGAGAGAAATTTTTAACATTTTGCACAAATTCACGAATATTCATTTACTGCCCGTGGAAATCAGTTTCTTTGAACTTGAATTGGGCTGCTTGGTCAGCCCCCCCCCCCCCTCACACAATGGCGACTATCTGCTCCACCTCGTTCCCAAAGTAGGTGAGATGTTTCCATGATCCACCGTCTTATGTGATTTGCAATCAAGGAAAATACAATTGTGGATGAATATGATATTTCAGAGAAGAGAAAAAAAAGTCGCACACAAGTCATTATAGGACGAACTTAATTTATTTTGTAGTATTTTAGCATTATTTCAAAGAATATTTCCACAACTTCAAAGTCACTTAAACTGGTTTTTATCATAAAATTTTCAACAACCAAGTATACCTACCCCCCCCCCCCCCTGTATTGAAAGTTGAGGTGTATTTGTACAGGCCACCCCCTCCCTGAAAAGTGGGGGTATTTAAACCACCGGCCCGTCACCTGCGATTTACGCCCTTGGTAGAACTGAATTCTTATTTCGAATGCTGTTTTGTTCTTCACTTCGCCAAAAAAGCGCAATTGGATTTTACATTCTCATTGTTGTTCGGTAAAAATTGTGAAGGTTTTTTTTGGGGGGGAGGGGGGGGGGTAGGGGCAGGGATCTCACTCTGTACACTGCTATATAACTGTATTTATTGTGGCTATTTTTATTCTTTTTATCACCTTCAACATTTTCACCAGACGGTTGTTACCAATTGTACTCCATTAACAACCCCAATCTGACTACCGAGTCGTGCATTGAATCCTGCAAAATGTTGTCCATACCTTATGCTGGTGTTGTTACTAAAAGCAAGGAGTGTTTCTGCGGATTAATTTTTGACGTTGGCTCAAACTCCAGTTGCTTATATTATGGACCTCGTACTTCATGTTGTGCTAGCTCGTGCCTTGAGAACAGGGTTTTCTCCTGTGGCAATTTAGGAGAACTGACTGTTTTTGATCGTAAGTATAAATTATGATATATTTGTTGTTATTACTATTATTATTTTTATTATTATTATTATTGTTATTATTGTTATTATTATCATTTTTATCATACTTTATGTTGTAGTACTGTATAGTAGTATTATATTTTAATTCAAAGAAAAAGGCATAGCTTATTGTAAGGGACTTCAGAAAAAATTATATAATATTTAGAGAGAGAGACTCAAGATCATTAATACTGCCGTTGAGATCACCTTTCAATTAGATGAAATGGTTGCGTTAATTTTGTTATTTTTGTTATGTTAAACGAACCGGGATATATTAGTAGCCCGGGCGTATATGGGAGGGGGGCTTAAACGGCAGTTTGAAAGGAGATGACAAGAAGCATGAACTTCACTTGGATAAGTAATCAGACATTTTAATTACGTGTTACTCCGCTGCTTACTACGCCAATGGAGACAGAATAAACATCAGGCGCCGAGGCACATTTAAAGATAAACTTTAGTACTGGTAATGCGATTGCATTGTGAAAGAAAAGGTGTGGAAAGGATCAGAAACAGTTGATCATCTAGCATTTAAGTATTGGTGTGCACTGCAAGGTTCTGGAGTCATCAATATCATAATAAATTTGACAGAGTTTTAGAAAACTACATGGGGTATGGACTATGTTGCGTGTTAACTAGTAATCCCACATAATTCCCTTTTTTAATTAAACTACTAAAAAGCAGTATCCCTCCAGACAAGAAAACACTTAATAAATGATCACATCCAGACAAATTGATTATGGTTAAAAACTGGTTCTATATTCTATCATTTCACATAAGATACAATGATTACAGAATTATCAGAAACCTCTTCTGTCTATCTCAACAGTGACAGACAATTAAACTATCACTAGGCCCTTGGTAGTTACTATTAATAATCAAACATAGATAACTTCCAACAGCACATTAATGTAAAGGAGACTCAACTTAGTCACTATGGTATTAATGATTACCGCTGAATACAAGTCTCGAAATATCAGGAGTCTAGCTGTTCAGTACAACTTAAAACAGTACTAAAACAAGTCAGTTAAATATCATTCCCACTGCATGAATAATAACAGTCAAGAAAATACTACTCAAATCTAAGCTAGACAGCGTTTAGATTTACTTACATAGGCACGAAATATTGTGGTTCAAGAAACCGCTAAACAAATCTCTACTTGTGTATGTGTACGGAATGCACAACACGAGAATACAACAATATATCGGTGGATCTAGACTATAGCAGATCTAGATCAGTAGACCAGGCATAGGCCTAGAACTAGTGCAATTATAAACATGTAAAATATGTGTTAGTAAGCGTACGCACTCAACAACAGGCACTCAGTCAGTCAAAATAAGGCCTCACAATGATAAACAATGCAAAGCATAAATCACAATATAATTAACGTTACGTGAGTCATTGGAGTTGAATTCAAAGTAGATCTTCTTCAAGTTCTAGGTAGATGTAGAAACTAGCTAGTCGAGAACAGTGGTCGACGAGCTGGTTGTCGATCGCGTAGGATATGCAGACGATGATCGACGCTAGGTGAATACCACGATGATGAAGACGATGTTGAAGACAACGATGATGACAACAATGATGAAGACGACGCTGGTGAAGACAGCGATGATGAAGTCGACGATGAAGACGACGCTGGTGAAGACAGCGATGATGAAGTCGACGATGAAGACGACGATGATGAATCAGTTAACAGATGAATACAATGATGATGCAGTCAATGTCAATAGATCAACTTCAGTGACTTGCGATGCAGGTCGAAGAATCAAATGTCGAGACAATATATATGAAGTCGATGATAAAAGGTTGTCAAACAATAATGCAGGTGAGAAAAACGTTAGATCATATTAAATGTTCTATTCTCACTGCTGGTGAATTAAAGTGTCGTCAATGTTGAACATCGAGAGAGTCAAAATATATCTTGCAAAACGTACAAGATGAAAATAGGTGAGCACGTCCACCGGGAATGGTCCGGGGACGTAGCAGTTCAATCCTCGTTGGATACAATTTTCTAGGTACAAATATCAACACAATAACAGCATGTGTGTATACCAATATTAAAACAGCTCACTGATTCCCGCACAGGAAAATCAGAAGAGCGCCAATCAACTACAGCGCGATTGGTTCAAAACAAGCGCACATGTATGTTAATAAGGCACGTGATCTAAATACTTATGAATAAATACGCGTACATCTATGTTAATTGGTCATGTGATCAAAATACTAATGAATAAACATCGTTATATAATAAATCGAGTTAAAACCAGTTCTGAGGACATGGCGTAATACCAAATCCTCGAACTCTCAATGACTTCTAAAGCGGCCATTTTGGATTAAAAACACAATATGTATACCAGTGAATTATAAATGAATGCACTGTAACATTTGTCGCTACATTAACCCCCCTACTAGACCCGAGCTTGCGTAAGCTCCGAGGGGCGAAAATACACAATTAAAAATATAAAGGAAACATATGTACAAAATACATTAATATACATGAAAATAACCACTATTTATGCGACACGTTCAATGTAGTGAACCTGAACGTACCTTTGCGGCCAGTGGACGTGGCGGCCTGAACGTGTGACACGCGCAGCAGGTTGCGATTTCACCGGAGCAGGAGCAGGCGTAGGAGCAGGTGCAGGAGCAGGCGCAGAGGTTGCGCGAAGTGCTGTGCGCAGAGGGGAGGAGACGGTAGGCTCTCCCTCTAGAGGCACGTCAGCCGCGGTAGTCCTAGCCGAAACGCTTTCCAAAAATGCGGGTTTCAGTCGATCAATGCTTACAGAAACATGCTTGCCCTTTTGCTCAATAACGAAAAACTTCGGGTTTCGTTTGAGAACCTTGAACGGACCCAAATACGGAGGCTGTAATGGCTTACGGACAGCATCGATACGCAAGAAAATATGCGTACAAGTATCGAGAGACCTATGTACAAAACTGGTCTGTGGTGACCTACGTGTCGCTGTAGGCGCTAAAACAGACATATGGTCCTTCAAGCGTTGGACGTAGTCCGCGGGGTCAACAGTATCGTGTCGCGTAGGCACTATCAGCTGGCCTGGAAGACGCAACGCCGTCCCGTAGACTAGTTCGGCAGCGGAAGCTCCGATGTCTTCCTTAATAGCTGCGCGGATACCCAACATGACCAAAGGAAGGTATTCTTGCCAACGGTTCGGCTCGGGTTGAGATTTGAGAGAGGCTTTAAGTTGCCGATGGAACCGTTCCACCATACCGTTGGCCTGCGGGTGGTAGGCCGTGGTGGCTATGGTCCGACAACCTAGCAAATTAGCTAATGCAGTGAAAAGCGCAGATTGAAACTGACGACCTCGATCATGCGTAATCGTGGCTGGAGCTCCAAAGCGAGCTACCCAGTTCTCCACTAGAGCTATGGCTACTGTCTCGGCAGTGGCATCCGCTATCGGGATCGCTTCGGGCCAACGGGTGAACCTGTCGATACAAGTCAGCAGATAAATGTGCCCTTTCGAGGGCGGTAGTGGCCCAACAAGATCAATATGAACGTGTGCAAAACGGGCATCGGGGTTGGCAAAAGTGCCAAGCGGTGAGTGCGTATGACGTTGGATCTTTGCGCGCTGACATGGGATGCAAGTACGCGCCCATGTACAAATGTCCTTGTTCATACCCCGCCACACAAAACGGGCCGCTATAAGCTTTTGCGAAGCTTTAATGCCCGGATGCGCGAGATTGTGCAGATTGTCAAACAACGATCGACGGTGTGCTACCGATACATACGGCCGCGGATGCCCTGTGGACATGTCGCACCAAATGTGCGCGTCCCCTTCCGGAAGGAGGACCTTCTCAAATTTGAGCGAGGTTGACGTGTCTGAGCGCAGAGCAGCGAGCTCAACGTCATCGACTTGGTCGGTCGCGACTACACGCAGGTTAATCGAGTTCGGTAATTGCACTGAGTCAATCTCGGTGCGAGAAAGTGCATCAGCTACCTGATTATCAACGCCTCGAATATGGCGTATGTCGGAGGTAAACTGTGACACGTAATCGAGTTGCCGCGCTTCCCTAGGGGAATGTCGATCGGGCGATGTCTTGAGTGCGAAGGTAAGAGGCTTGTGGTCTGTAAAAACAAAAAAATCACGCCCCTCTAAGAAGTATCGGGAATGGCGTATTCCGAGGTAAATGGCTAGCAGCTCTCGACCAAAGGTACTATACCTAGTCTCGGGAGGCTTGAGGCGGCGAGAAAAGAACGCAAGCGGTCGCCACTCCCCTTCATGGAGTTGCTGTAACACACCACCTACGGCGAGATCGGAAGCGTCTACCGCGAGGCTTGTAGGTAGCTCAACAGACGGGTATGTAAGCATCGTGACGTTCGCGAGGTCCTCTTTGACAGCCGCGAAAGCAGAGTCGCACACAGGGGACCAATCTAACGCCTTTCGAGAGCGCTTAGGTTGCTTGCGCAGCAAATCAGTCAAGGCGGCCAGCGAGGATGCGCACTTAGGCATAAATCGGCGGTAAAAATTAACCATGCCTAAGAACCGGCGCAGCTGGCGTAGCGAGGTAGGGCGCGGAAATTTGCGAATTACCGCGACCTTGTCATCCATCGGGGAGACGCCCTGGGCAGTCACATGGTGCCCTAGAAAGTCTAGTGCTTCGACTCCAAACTGGCATTTGTCAGGATGCACTACTACTCCATAATCACGGAGGCTTGTGAACAGCTGGCGCAAATGAGTCTCGTGCTGTTCGGGATTCTCGCTGGCAACAAGAATATCATCAAGATACACGAATACAAATGGCAGGTCACGGACGACCCTATCAATAAACCTTTGAAAGGTTTGCGCCGCGTTGCGTAGTCCGAATGGCATGCGTCGGAAATGGAATAACCCAAAAGGGGTTGTCAGCGCGGTCTTCTTCACATCATCAGGGTGTACGGGGATCTGATGATATGCGCGCACTAAGTCAACTTTGGAAAATACGCACTTGTCTCGCAACTGTGCGGCAAAGTCGTGAAGGTGCGGAATGGGATAGCGATCCGGGACGGTCACGCGATTAAGAGCGCGGTAATCGCCACATGGTCGCCAACCGCCTGACTTCTTTGGCACCATGTGGAGCGGCGACGCCCATGAACTGTCTGAGGGCTCGACAATGCCCAAATCGAGTAACCGGCCAAACTCGTCTTTAGCGATCTTGTGTTTGTCCGGCGCTAAGCGTCGAGGTCGTGCCGAAACTGGTGGGCCGGTTGTGAGTATTCTATGTGTGACGTCATGTTTCAACGGACAGTTCTTAAACATGGGCCGAGTTACTTCCGTGAACTCGGCAAGTAAGCGTTTGTAGACAGAATCGGAGTCTACTTGCACTATTGTGAGATTCAGCGACGGTAAGTCGGAGGCGATGCCATGTACGGACAGACTAGTGGTGGCATCCCAAAGTCGGTTTGTGCGCAAATCCACCAGTAAGCCGTAATGCCTCAAAAAATCTGCGCCGAGGATAGGCTGCGAAACATCGGCCAATATGAATGACCACTTAAACGAACGCCGCAGCCCAATACACACTGTGAGCTCACGCTGCCCATATGTGCATATGCGCGTCTTGTTTGCAGCCTGCAAAACGAGTGGCATAAGGTGCCTCTTATCAGCGGTGTTGGCAGGAATTACGCTTACCGCGGCACCCGTATCGACCAAAAATCGTGTCCCAGAATCTCTATCTGTGACATAGAACAAGCGACCGTCACGAAGAGGGCCAGTGAGGGGTGTCGCGCCCACCTCCTGGCCTAGTTGTTTTCCGCCGGCTTGCTATATGTGCATGGCGGGCGGCACTGGTGAGCCTTGTCACCCCACTTCTCATGATACCAGCAAACTTCAGAAGTGCTCGCTGATTTATAGCCGGATGAGTCGCGCTTCCTGTTGCTGCTCATGCTGCTCATGCTGCTGCTTCGGTTCCGCATGCAACCGATAGTGGCGGTCAATTCCTTGACCAATTTCGTGAGTGCAGCAACTTGGTGCTGAAGAGTATTGGGTTCAGTCATGACGCCGCGCCACGCCCACTGTTCACACAACTAAATTCAATGTATCAGTAAGAAATGTGATTATCTAATGGTAAAAAAAAATATTAATAAGCAAAGGTAATCTAACTAAATGTTTCTTATCTCAGGGGGATCACGTCGGGGTCACCAATTTAGAAAACTACATGGGGGTATGGACTATGTTGCGTGTTAACTAGTAATCCCACATAATTCCCTTTTTTAATTAAACTACTAAAAAGCAGTATCCCTCCAGACAAGAAAACACTTAATAAATGATCACATCCAGACAAATTGATTATGGTTAAAAACTGGTTCTATATTCTATCATTTCACATAAGATACAATGATTACAGAATTATCAGAAACCTCTTCTGTCTATCTCAACAGTGACAGACAATTAAACTATCACTAGGCCCTTGGTAGTTACTATTAATAATCAAACATAGATAACTTCCAACAGCACATTAATGTAAAGGAGACTCAACTTAGTCACTATGGTATTAATGATTACCGCTGAATACAAGTCTCGAAATATCAGGAGTCTAGCTGTTCAGTACAACTTAAAACAGTACTAAAACAAGTCAGTTAAATATCATTCCCACTGCATGAATAATAACAGTCAAGAAAATACTACTCAAATCTAAGCTAGACAGCGTTTAGATTTACTTACATAGGCACGAAATATTGTGGTTCAAGAAACCGCTAAACAAATCTCTACTTGTGTATGTGTACGGAATGCACAACACGAGAATACAACAATATATCGGTGGATCTAGACTATAGCAGATCTAGATCAGTAGACCAGGCATAGGCCTAGAACTAGTGCAATTATAAACATGTAAAATATGTGTTAGTAAGCGTACGCACTCAACAACAGGCACTCAGTCAGTCAAAATAAGGCCTCACAATGATAAACAATGCAAAGCATAAATCACAATATAATTAACGTTACGTGAGTCATTGGAGTTGAATTCAAAGTAGATCTTCTTCAAGTTCTAGGTAGATGTAGAAACTAGCTAGTCGAGAACAGTGGTCGACGAGCTGGTTGTCGATCGCGTAGGATATGCAGACGATGATCGACGCTAGGTGAATACCACGATGATGAAGACGATGTTGAAGACAACGATGATGACAACAATGATGAAGACGACGCTGGTGAAGACAGCGATGATGAAGTCGACGATGAAGACGACGCTGGTGAAGACAGCGATGATGAAGTCGACGATGAAGACGACGATGATGAATCAGTTAACAGATGAATACAATGATGATGCAGTCAATGTCAATAGATCAACTTCAGTGACTTGCGATGCAGGTCGAAGAATCAAATGTCGAGACAATATATATGAAGTCGATGATAAAAGGTTGTCAAACAATAATGCAGGTGAGAAAAACGTTAGATCATATTAAATGTTCTATTCTCACTGCTGGTGAATTAAAGTGTCGTCAATGTTGAACATCGAGAGAGTCAAAATATATCTTGCAAAACGTACAAGATGAAAATAGGTGAGCACGTCCACCGGGAATGGTCCGGGGACGTAGCAGTTCAATCCTCGTTGGATACAATTTTCTAGGTACAAATATCAACACAATAACAGCATGTGTGTATACCAATATTAAAACAGCTCACTGATTCCCGCACAGGAAAATCAGAAGAGCGCCAATCAACTACAGCGCGATTGGTTCAAAACAAGCGCACATGTATGTTAATAAGGCACGTGATCTAAATACTTATGAATAAATACGCGTACATCTATGTTAATTGGTCATGTGATCAAAATACTAATGAATAAACATCGTTATATAATAAATCGAGTTAAAACCAGTTCTGAGGACATGGCGTAATACCAAATCCTCGAACTCTCAATGACTTCTAAAGCGGCCATTTTGGATTAAAAACACAATATGTATACCAGTGAATTATAAATGAATGCACTGTAACATTTGTCGCTACAGAGTCTTGGTTAAGTAACAAGCACTCACATAGAAAGCTATATATGGGACAACACACATGGTGTCGGGGCTAGTACTACCTTGATGTCCTTGTCTTTCTATGCTCATTACTCAGCCAGTATACATTTTCTTTCAAAATTGTTTGGCACATGTCACTTATTTGTAATCTTGAACATTCAGTGTAAGTTTCGTTTGATTCTGTGAGAATTTTTTTTTTTTTTTTTTTACCAGTACTGGAGTTTATCTTTAATCTTAGGGCGAAATAAAAACAACCCCACCCGGCCCCAGGCCTTCCAACCGGGGCCTACCCAAAAAGGATGAAGCACTAGTCAAACATCGGCATGGTTTCATATCCTGCCGCTGCCACCACTTCAAGGGGGATAAACCAACCCCACTCATACTCGCTAGATCGATAGGAACCGTCAGCCATTTTAACTACATGGGTTCATACAATTCAGTTAACAAATTATTCATACCCTTACCAACCTTTTGCATTTCTTGTAGTATGTGAAAAATTGATTTGTCCCGATTTATATTTTTGTAGAATGTGATATATCAAAGCTTATAATTTTAACGAAATTTAAGCAAAGGCCCTACATAAAATTCAACAAGTCCACTTTTGTTATCTTGAGTAATACGCAAAAACACCCCCCCCCCCCCCCCCCCCTCTACAAAAAAAATTGCAAAGGGGTATAAATAAGGGATAGAGCAATGTCAATCTGGCGCTGCTCAGTGGCTGCCGGGCTCACGACCAATTGGGCAAAAAAGAATTTCCATTTTCGGTTTAACTTAATAAAATTCGGAGTGGACTTTAAAAGATTATTATTATTAATTTAGTTGTAAACTGTATATCCTACCGCTGAAGGGAAAAAAAAAAAAAAAACATTCTCTAGGAATGGGTTACCAGTCTTTTTAGTGCATGGGTTCATAATCCTACTACTGCCAGCACATTAAGGAAAACAATACAAACCTAAATTAGGGATGAGGCAGCAGTCTTTTCAATGGCATGGTTTTGTATCATACCGGTACCACCACAGTTGGTAAAAGCGAAACATAGTAAACAAAATGGCGTAACACACGCTTAATCAGTTTTGGTTTTGATTGGGTAGGCTTTGTAACTAACTGCAAGACCCTTTTCTCTTCTATCTGTATTGTTGTCTGCTTCTAGTTCTTCCTGGTCCTGACAATTCTGTTACTCCCAGAGAGCAACAGACGACCGAAAAGTCAACTAGCGTGATGGCAATTTCTACGAATCATGGTAACTTAAGATTGTATCCTATAGCTAGCCCTTTATCATGGTTTTAAACAATGAACAACATTCTTATACTTTGGTGTGTCTGTGATTGAACATGTTGATATTCAAACCATCTTTAAATAAAGTAATTCCAAGTGAACCAAACACCGTATTAAGTCAAAGTGGATTTTTTTTTTGCAGACGAAAATACCTCGTATTAAATGGTTTTAAAAAAACGCTAACATGTATCACAGGGTCTCCTGCCTACAACACAATACAGAAGGGCATAACATCGAACTGGCAAAGAGAATGAGACACTAGTCAGGTTGACTGTTGTAGTACAACCTACAAACCAGAAAGCTTTCTCTAGTATCTTAGGTAAATTTGTAAAATTGTAATTACAACTAATCAAGCACGTAGTTTCCTTCTTCTTCTCCTTTTTTTTTTTGGGGGGGGGGGGTCTTAATATTTTATCTTTCAAAAAAGAGTTACAAATTAAAAAAAAAAAAAGTTTAAAAACTGCCCTATAGACACCACAGCACTTTACAAGATAAGTAAATCCGATAAACCAAAATCCGATATATCACGTGATGTTGTTGTTGTTGATGATGCTGTTGTTGCTGTTACTGCTACTGCAGCAGTAATGAAAATGAAAGAAAACAACAGCAACATCAGCTGTTGCTGTTGTTTTCTTTCATTTTTGTTGTAGGATGCAGGCGCGTATGCAGACGGGGGGGGGGGGGGTTAGGTTAAAGGGTGAAGAAAAAACAACTGCCTTACCCCCCCCCCCCCCCCCCCCCCACTGAACGAAATATCGGTCCTAATTTTGAAATTTTCGGGACCACAAAAAAAGTGCTAATACCATGTGCTAATACACATTTTAGCGACACTGCATATTGCTTCTTGTGACGGAGATTCTTCTTTCCTTTTTAACTATTATAATATATTGAGCATATGGCTAGAATTATAACTTTGGGGTCCTGTTTTGTCATTATTTTGCAGCTGGGCAACAGTCAACGATAACTCAGCATGAATCTACACCGCCCTTTATCACAGGAAAAGGTAGTACTGTATTACAAAGTGTTTTCATATTTTTATATTACCCCGTATTTCCCCGGTAACGAGGGCGGGGACGGGGTTATGTACAACTCCTGTTTTACATAGACCGACTGATAGTCGGCCTTTAAACATAGGAAGGGGTGTATCCTTCGCCTATTTTTGTCTCTTTTCCTCTCCAGTGGAACTTTGTTATTCCGTTATTATAGCCTTCGCTTATATGCTCCACATTCCAGTGTATGAGGACGCGCTCACGGCCTCACGCGTTATATATTTGGTAAAGAGAAAAACATTTATGCAACAATTATAATGTAATGCTGTATTATTCCCTTTGAATTCTTAAAATTTGGACTTTGATTCGAAAAAAATATCAAGAGGCATCATTAAACTCAAATGGACCTGTCTCCTTGATAAAGGTCGACCACGCACTGACTCTTTCGACTGTCGTTGCCATTATTAATTTTATTAGTATTATCATTGTTATTATTATTATGATTATTATTATTATTATTATCATTAATATATATTTTTATGGAGCTTGGGGTAGATTAGCCTTGTGCTAAGCTATCCAATAAATATACTATAGTAGTATTTCACTACTACTACTACTACTTCTACTACTTCTACTACTACTACTACTACTACTACTACTACTGCTACTACTATACTTCTACTACTACTATCGATCGGGGTTATCTTATCATATGGCTCCGTTTAGTCTCATTTCACAACGCCCCCTATCGTCAGAGCATGATCTGAGTCGGCAGCCTAACATGTTAGCCTATGGACGTTTTTTTAAAAAATCGTTAAAAATTCATTTTTTGTTTAAACGAAAAGCACATCCACCCCGACGTACGTTATCACTAGCTCTTTCATTGGAGCCCTCATGTCTCATTGACTTTTGAAAGTTCACCCACCGTAATTTTTATGCCTCCGTTACGAAGTAGCCGGAGGCATTATGTTTTCGGGTTGTCCGTCCGTCCGTCCGTCCGTCCGTCCGTCCGTACGTCTGTACGTACGTCTGTACGTACGTCCCGTTCTCGTGATCACGTTATCTGAAGAACGGATCTATGGATTCCTACCAAACTTTGGTCATTTATGTATCTAGCAAAGTCGATGAACTGATTAGATTTTGGGGTCACGAGGTCAAAGGTCAAAGGTCACAGGGCTCATTATGTATGCAAAAACAGCTCGTGATCGCGTTATCTGAAGAACCGATTGATGGATTCCTGCCAAACTTTGGTCATGTATGTATCTTGTAGAGTCGATGAACTGATTAGATTTTGGCGTCACGAGGTCAAAGGTCAAAGGTCACAGGGCTCATTATGTATGCAAAACGGCTCGTGATCGCGTTATCTGAAGAACCGATAGATGGATTCCTGCCAAACTTTGGTCATGTATGTATCTTGCAGAGCCAATGAACTGATTAGATTTTGGGGTCACGAGGTCAAAAGTCAAAGGTCACAGGGCTCATTATGTATGCAAAAACAGCTTGTGATCGCGTTATCTCAAGAACCGATTGATGGATTCCTGCCAAACTTAGGTCATGTATGTTACTTGCAGAGCCGATGAACTTATTAGATTTTGGGTAACGAGGTCAAAGGTCAAAGGTCACAGCGCCCATTATGTATGCAAAAACAGCTTGTGATCGCGTTATTATTAGAACAGATTGATGGATTCCTGCCAAACTTAGATCATTTATGTATCTTGCAGAGCCAATGAACTGTGTAGATTCTTGGTTCATAAGGTCCAAGGTCATGGGCTCATTATGTATGCAAAAATAGCTTGTGAACGCATTCTCATTAGAACTGACAGATGGATTACTATTTAACTCTGGATATCTTGCAGAGCCAATGAGCTGAGTAGATATTAGGATCATGAGGTCAAAGTTCAAAGGGTCATATATGTATATGAGAAATTGTTTGTAATCACGATATTCTGAGAACCTGTTAATGGATTACAATTGAACTTGAATTTGAAAAATTTCTTCCGTTTTGGTTTGTAAAATTGCTCTATGACGGAGGCATCATTTTCGACTGCGCGCAGTCGAATTCCATCTAGTTCAAAATAGGTTGCAAGCTCTTCATTGCCTATAATACACATGTGAAACAAGTCTAACTTTGGACTCAGTTTACCAAGCGATTTGAAGATTATAGGTCGAGCACACGAAACATAAAAAGCATGAATTATCATAGATCACTTCTGCCTATTTCATTTTGTCCATTTCATCCAACCCCCCACCGTAATTTTTCCATTTAGTAAAAGCAAACATTTTGCCGAGTTTAGCAAAACATGAATATTCATGAACGGTCAGACAATACAGCCTTTTAGTACGTAACGTATAGTGAATGGGAATGGGCGATGATCCGTTCAGGAGGTAGAGGTCAGTGGTTTGTGCTGGCAATGTTCACGCGAGCGAAAATGAGACAATCGGAGCAATATGTTTGTTCTAATTTTTAAGCCTTACAGAAAGATTTTTGAGAACCGCAGCCAATATTTCTCTTTTCATTTCTCTCTTTTTTCCGTTTGACTTCAAGGAGTGACGGCCGCGGTCCTAGGAACTTTATGTGGAATCCTGCTCATCTACAGTGTTATAGTTTCTTTGTTGCTTTACTTATCAAGGTATGAGTTAATACACTTCCTAACAATATCATAGACCAGTTCGTAGTTAGCATGTATTACAAGTAACCTAAAACTACCCACAGATCTTTAATACCTGGAGTAGTCCTACTTCCATCCGTGTTCCATAGAATGTACCGTATTGACGGTGCATAAATAAATAATGATATATTACAGTCATGACTTTCATGAGTACGCATCCGGTATTCTTTTCGGTGGGTTCAACAATTTTGGTACAATGACCTTCATCTGTATATCTACAAACTGGCTTATTGGATCAACAGGAACACGACACGTTCCTTAGTAACATCTATGGAAATATGACAAAATGATGAAATGGTTGTATTAAATAGAAGTGCACTCCCCGTTGTAGTAACAATTTCTATCACCATAATCTTGGTATCCTTGTATGACATTTTAGACGAACTCGACGATCCTCGAAGAACTCTAAAGAGCCCACTGCTGCCAAGCAGAAACCATACACCGGTCTTGATCGGACGAATCCCGAACGCCATTCCTATCAAGGCATATACCTGAGCCCAAACGGAGAAGGAGATCAATGCCCTAATTCCTTCCAAACTCATTCCTACCAAGAGATCGTAACTCCTTGCTCCTCCTACCGAAATGACGCGGTGGGGCAAGTGCGCGGACGACAGGCGGCGCAGGAAGCAAGAAGAAGTGCCCCCGACGATCCTGGTGACATGCACTACGTCATACCTGAACTCTAAACAAATTATGTTATGTAAGGAACCCGGAAAATTGAGAGTTATTATTTTGTCATAGATACAGGGTTTTGAATATGATCGCAGTTTGATTGCAGGGTAGGTGCAGGTTAATGATTAGATTACAGTTTGGTATAGTGTTTGATACAAGGTTAAAGTTATGAATATAGCTAGTGTATAGGAACACGACTGCGGAGTAATCGTCGCCGGAGTATATGTCGTAGCACCCGGGTTTTAACTGTGTTTCATATCTAAAATGATTACAAATTCGTTTATTCATGAAATTAAGAACATAGATTTAGCTTATCACTAATAGCATACCTGTATAGTGTATATAATATATGCCCTATATCTTATATTTTTTCCAAAATGTAGAACAAACGTGTACGAGAACAATAATTGTTTTTGTTATAAAAGGAAGATCGTCACGCATTTACCCTTGTCTATACATACAATTTATTCACATGTTCGGCAGTAGTTTCAATGAAGTGTATAACTGTCACTGTCATCACTGACAAAGGAGATATTTTAGAAGAGAAGAATAGAAGAATGGATCATTATGTCAACATGCAGATTCCTGTTATCTCATGCCATTAGCGTAGTTGTATATCACCATATTTTATATTTTGGAGATGCATACCGGATAAGTTTACCAGTTTGTCAGTTTTGATTTAACTAAATCATGATTTGATATGAGCTGACGAATGTATACCCAATTTAATTGGAAAATGTAATCACTCTGTATTATGTCTTCGAGTTTTTGTCGAATTCGATTATGTACGTAACAAAGCCAAAGATTGACCGTGACTAGTTTCTATGCTGTACGAAATTATGCAATATTATTCAACCATATAGCTGCGAAAATTATGTTATTATTTAACGGATCATTGTAATAGTGGTTGAATAATAACCAGTACCCGACTTCCAGTAGTTTTGTCGGCACTCACCTCATTGTTTGGCCCATATCAACAATATATTTAAGCAATAAGGGTTTTGACTGTATATGAATTAGGTAGATTTCAACTGGGAGAATTTATGTACAGGTCTGAAAAGGGACTATTACCAAACTCACTTAAAAACTGGTTTAGATGCAACAATGATGTACATTGTTATAACACCCGAAACTCCAAGAATTTGCATAGCATTTATTACAGAACTGCTACTGGCCAAAGAAGTGTTAAGTACCAGGGTTACCTTACATGGTCTGCTTTAGACGACAGTCTCAAACAATCCGCATCATTACGACAATTTAAGTTGAAAAATACCTCTGCAATTCTAAATAGTCATATCAATCTAAAAATAATTATTATTATGTTTCAAATCGCAATTATGCTTTCATCGGGTCAATTTAATCTAATTATAAAACCAGACATTTGAAGGGAGAGTCCACCCTGAGAATGGGTTTACTCCACCTTTACTTGGCCACACACATTCTCAGGGTGGACTTCCCCTTCATTGCTACCGGGGCTAGACTCGATAAGCTTCGCTTTTTCTAGCCCCATCTACATTACTCACCCTTTTATGTTTTAATGTTGATGTTTGTTAACTGATGTAGATTTTCATTGTTCTTTTATGCTTATGTATCTGTTTTTCATTTGCTCTATGTGTCAAATGTATAAAATGTATTTTCTTACCTTGTATATTCTTCTGGTTTTTAATGTGGAAAATAAATGAAATGAAATGAAATTGATGATATGGAGCTGGGTTAGTATTTCGTAATGTGGATAATTATGGCCAAGATGAAGATGGCACTGGTCACATGTATACGCTGTGGATTATTGCTGTTTTGTTTATAAAATATTATGATCATAAACATTTATGAAATTGTCTTTCATGTTAGACTGAGATTCAGATGAATCTATTTACTTTATTATAATAGTGCATGATATAAATAACGTAACAACAATATGCCATTGAATTGATTTAAGTTACTATTTAACTTTTCTAAAATACATGTCCTACTGTCATGACGTCAGCTACTAAAAGTAGACCTCATGCCCTTTTAAAGCTCAGTCTAACGAGTCAGAAGTCAAATTGAACAGAAAATAATAAGTCTAGACTGACATTTAAATTATGTCTTCTTATCGACCATAATGGAATCATGTCATTTGTTGATTTTTTTTATTTTTTTTTTAGATTAAAGGTATCAGTTTGTGGTGTTGATATGTAAAGCCTTGGAGGGATAATAAACTTTTCCCTCGTGCATGCATATGACCTCATGACCCTAAAATCTACTCAGTTTACCGAAAGGGCTTTTGCCCTGCCCCCCCTGCCTTTTCTTTTTCCTTGGACGCAATGTAGAAATACTTGTGAATTTATCCTTTGTACCGACCGATACACTATACGAAACGTTTTTATGAGACCAGTGTACATCGTATATAACATCAGCAATTAAATAGAGATAGTCAACATTAACATTTTACAGGAAACACATGAAGGAAACAACGAGATTGTGAAGATGAATCAGCAAAACAGTAACATCTGCAAGAAAATTGAAACTATAAAAATTATGTATGAACTATGATGTCGTCATGTTTGATTCTTTTCTATTCTTTTCTATTCTTTTTATTTCTTTTCTATTTTTTTCTTCTTTTCTTTTCTTTTCTTTTCTTTTCTTTTCTTTTCTTTCTTTTCTTTTCTTCTCTTCTCTTCTCTTTCCTTTCCTTTCTTTTCTTTTCTTTTCTTTTTCTTTTCTTTACTTTTCTTTACTTTTTTTCTTTCTTTTCTTTTCTTTACTTCTCTTTTTTTCTCTCTTCTTTCGTTTTTGTCTCGCCTGCGTAGCAAAAAGCGAGACATAGGCGCCGAATTTTGAAATTGTTGTCCATTAATTAATTATGGTAATTTATGCAAATTTATTCCAAAAATAACAAAAATTGCTTCTTTTTCCTCATTTCTTGACTTGATTTTGATTTTGATTTGGTTTGCCTTATCTGGTAGAGCTAAATTTGGAACACTAAACTTCTACACAGAATTGTGAGATTATGCTCCATTGATTATTTATGGTACTTTGTGCAAATGAAATGAAATGATGTCCCTTCCAGGGCATCAAATTTTTATTTTCTGACCAGTTCAAAATTGTACCACATAAAATTTACGATATTTGTTGTTGCTAGATGCGGATGAGCGCTACGTCATTGACGTTCTGGTTTATCATATTGAATTTCGTTATGCAGGCGAGACCGCCGAGAGCGTTTCCCTTGTTTCCTTCCCTGTACTAAACAATGCAGTTTCTTTTCTTTTCTCTTCTTTAGTTTTTGCCTTTCCTGTACTAAACAATGTAGTTTCTTTTTATTTTCCTTGAACATAAAATGTATGGTTCGACTTTGGGAGAAAAAACATCAGTATCAATTATTTTTCAATGTATAGAATCAATGTCCAAAATGACATAATTGCCTCAGGGATTGTCTTCAACTTGTCTTCAGGGGCAGTGAAGGATCTAGGATTCTCTGGCAGAGGAGGTGCACAAGTCCGAAATAACGTGTCAAGTAGGGGGATGATTGACTTAATAGAAAATATAACACAATAAAGAACGGTCATCACGTTTTTTGGTGATACGTTTTCGCTAAAAACAGATTATATACGTCACACGTTGAGTAAGTTGAGAAAACATGAAATGTGAAAGTATTTACAGCTTTAAGCCAGGAGTGAAAGCGATAGAGGAAATGAAATATTATTACTCAATGCTGGGGTCCAAATATTTCTTTATATGGCTTTACTTTCAGTGCACAACATAGTCGTGGTGATATTCATGTCTTACCAATAAGGCAATCATATCTATACAGGGGCGGATCTAGCTTTCTGCTAAGGGGGGGGGTTTGACCAAAATAATGACGATGCGGAGCATCGTCCACGAGCCGCGAAGCGGCGAGCCGATTTTTTCGGGGGTGTTTATTTGAACCCCGTAAGTGATGTTTTCCTGGCATCTATTAACACAATGGAGACCATAAAAAGCAGTGCATGATAACGTCTTTTTAAATCAAGTAACAGTTTAATACACAGTTATATCCAGGGTTATCATGTGTTTGGTTAAGTTACCAGATGAGTTGAATATCTTCTCACAATATTTGCACTTGAAAGGGTTTCTCTCCAGCGTGCGTTCTTTTTTCTTTCTTTTTCTCTTTTTTTTTCCCTTTTTTTTTGGGGGGGGGGGTTTAACCCCTAATCCCCCCCCCCCCGTAGATCCGCGCCTGCTATATTTGTATTTTACTTGTCATTTCCTGTAGAAGGCAAGGAATGATCTGTTGTTACTTGGTACTGGTTGGTATGAGGTTATCCCTTTGGCAGCTCTCCAAGGGAGCTATAGGGATATAAGGCGAGTAACTCCAAGGATTGCCACTTCTACCTTGTCAGTTATTATAATAAAGATAAAGATCTTTGCCAAAGCGAAAAGTCATTTTCATTTGAGATATTGCTTCATCGAGCAGTATTGATCATCTCCTGACGTCATTTTGCTAAGAGAAAAAAAGTTGAACTAAATGATTATATGACTGTTGTAAAACATCGGGCAAGTCAAAGGAACAAACTAAATTGATAATTGTAATTATTTTCTTGATTATTCTGCAATTAGCTATGGATACCAATCGCATGCTGTTCTACATTGTACCGATAATACTGGTTTTGGCTCATACATCTCAGTCTGAAGGGCTGTCAGTTGGTAAGTTGGAGAGATCATTTTGGATCCTTTCAGATATCTTCTTCGCCTCTGTCATTATATTTTTATTCATAATTATTACTATCATTATTATCGTCACTACCATCATCTGTATCATCATTAAGAATATTATTTTTATTGTTATAATTATCCATTTTATTGTTAGTTAATACCATTATTATTTGTATTGATATCGTTAATTATTATTGTTATCATCATTAATTTTACTCTAAGAACTAGCGATCAGTAGTAATGGAATATGTGTAGCTAGTAGTAGAAGCAGTATATTATCATCATCATCATCATCATCACCTTAACCACTGTTATTATTACAAGCATTTTTGTCCCTCTTCAATCGGTTGTAATCGTAACTTCATGCTTTCTTTCTTTCTATATATGGATTTAAACTTCTATAGTAACACAACAAATCCCCTTCATTTGTTTCTTTAAATATGTGTCATAATGCTGGAATAAATATATGTACAATATACATGTATGTATTTATGTTTCAACAAAAAATAACTACTGGAGATTTCAAGGATACAGCACGCCTTAAAAAGAGAGGGAAAACTTATCAGTGAATTTTAAATTTAATAAACGACATATAAATACACCTATTGTAAAATACATTCCATAATTTTATCAGGTGAAAATATTGTACTAGAATAATTTGCATAATGAGAGAAATGTTCAACATTGTGCACAATAGGATTCACGAATATTCATTTACTGCCTGTTGAAATCAGTTTCTTTGAACTTGAATTGGGCTGAACGGTCAGGGCACCCCCCCCCCAACGACAACGACCCCCCCCCCCAAGTAGGTGAGATGTTTCTTCATGATCCACCGTCTTATTTGATTTGCACTCAAGGAAAATACAATTGAATACAAAGATGGTATCATGATACGCAGGAAGGATTTTTACACCCAGAAATACCATAAACCCTCGATGAAATATTCGCATTTACAAAATACAAAATTGAAAAGTTGTGAAGGTTTATTTTTGTTGGGGGGGGGGGGTCTCAATCCGTATGAAAATATAAAACTGTATTTCTTGTAGCTATTTTAATGCTTTTCATCACCTTTCAACTTGTTCAACAGATGGTTGTTATGAATTCGAATTATTGGCCTTATTCTATAATTCCACGAACAACCGTAATCAGAGAACCGAGTTGTGTTTTGCATCCTGCAAAAAGGTCGGCCGTTACACTTACGCTGGTGTACTTACCAATGGCACTGATGATTGCGAGCTGTGGTGTTTCTGCGGAATTAATGCTAGCTCAAACTACACTAGCACTTTGACTGGGCCTGGACATACCGAGGAATGCCCGTGCTCTGAAAACAGGATTGTCTGTAGCAAGTCCGGAACAATTTCTGTTTTTGATCGTAAGTATAAATTATGACATTATTGTTGCTGGTATTATTATTGTTATTATTATTATTATCATCATTATTTTCATCATTATTGTTATTACTATTATTATTATTAGTAGTAGTAGTATTATCATTATCATACTAATTAGTGAAGCTAAGTAGCAGCTAACAGTATTTGAATTCAAAGAATAGGGCCTTATCTTCAGGGACCTCAAGAAAAATTATATAATAGAGAGAGAGAGAGAGACTCAAGATCATAAATACTGCCGTTGAGATCATCTTGCAATTAGATGAAACGGTTGCGTTAATTTCGTTATTTTTGTTTTGTTAGTGAATCGGGATAGATATTTAGTAGGCCGGGCGTATGGGAGGGGGTTTAAACGGCAAGCCAAGGAGATGACAAGAAACCCAATCTTGGGATATCGCATCAGACATTTCAATTATGTGTTACTCCGCTGCTAACAAGTCAAGAGAGACAGAATAAACCCACATTAGGCGCCGAGGCACAATCTATCTGAGGGAAATAAAACGACCTCACCCCTTCCAACCCTACCCAAAAAGGACGAAGCACCAGTAAAATATTGTCATGCTTTCATATCCTGCCGCTGTCACCATTTCAAGGGGGGGGGGTAGAACAACCCCCACTCCAGCAAGCCATTTCAACTACATGGGTTCATACAGTACAGTTAACAACTAAATTATTCATACCCTTACCAACTTTACTGAGTATTTTTTAAAGCATGTACACAATTTATTTGACCCGATTTATGTTTCGTTAGAATATGACATATCAAAGTTTACATCTAAATGTATTTAATAAATGCTATGCATGTAATTCAATTCTAAGTTACGAAAAACATCCCCCCCCCCACAAAAAAAAACATACAAGGGGTATGAATAATTTAGTTGTAATCTGTTGTTTATCCTACCCGTAAGAGGAGGACAAAACAGCCAACACTAGGATGGGTTACCAGTCATTTCAATGGATGAGTTCATATCTTACCACTGCCACCATATAAAAAAACACAATACAAACCTAAATTAGGGATGAGACAGCAGTCACTTCAATGGCATGGTTTTGTATCATACCTGTACCACCACACTGGTAAAAGCAAAACATCATAGTGAAGAGTGACCACCCGCCACCAACGTAAGATGACGTAACACACATTTTAATCAGTTTGGGTTTTATGATTGGGTAGGCTTTGTAATTAACTGCAAGACCCTTTTTCTGTTTTTCTGTATTTTTCCTCTGCTTCTAGTTCTTCCTGGTCCGCAACAGACGACTGAAAAGTCAACTAGCGTGATGACAATTTCAACGACTTCTGGTAACTTAATATTTTAGCCTATAGTCCTTATCATGTTTTCAAACAATTAACAACAATGTTATACTTCGGTGTGTCTAGGATCGAACATTTTGATATTTAAACCATCTTTAAGAAAGTAATTCCAATGGAATGGAGCACCGTTGTAGCTCAACTTGGACTTTTTGCACACAAAATTAGCTCGTATTAAATAGTTTTAAAAAAAAACACCAAAATGAATCACAGAATCTCCTGCCTACAACACCATATACAGAAGGGCGTATAATCTAACTGGCTAAGAGAATGAGGCATTAGTCAGGTTACCTGTTGTCGTATTACGACTTACGAGCCAGTATCTTAGGAAAAATTTTACAATTGTAATTACAACTAATCAGGCGCGCCGGAAGCAGTTTGGGATTGGGGGGGGGCAAACATTCCAGGGGGCTCACCTTCCAGGGGCAGTGACGTAATGAGAAATAACGTTCGGTAGGGGGGGGGGGGCAGACGAAAAATCTGCATCACCACCAGTCTTGCACATTACATGCAAGTCCCGCGGAACGTTTTTCAAAGTGGAGTAATAACGATCAGGTAGAGCGTAAATTGGCGTGGGGCTCAGGGTCTGAGCACCGGCAGGGGGTCAAGGGGCTGAGCCCCCAGAAGCTCTGGGGTTTTAGGTATTTAATTACGGTTAGATGAGCATCCAGGGCCCTCTTTAAGGCCATTGACGTGTTCCAGGGGGGGGGGGGGCCTAGATGCTCAGAGGTTTCAATATCTTACTATGGTCAGATGAGCATCTAGGGGCCACCTTAGGGCCCTTGGTTGGGTCCAGGGGGCAGAGCCCCCGGAAGCTCAGGGGTTTTAGGTATTTAATTACGAGATGAGCATCCAGGGGCCCGCCTCAGGACCCTTGGTTGGGTCCAGGGGGCAGAGCCCCCGGAAGCTCAGGGGTTTTGGGTATTTAATTACGGTCAGATGAGCATCCAGGGGCCCGCCTTAGGGCCCTTGGTGGGGTCCAGGGGGCAGAGCCCCCGGAAGCTCAGGAGTTTTAGGTATTTAATTACAGTCAGATGTGCATCCAGGGGCCCGCATTAGGGCCCTTGGTGGGGTCCAGGGGGCAGAGCCCCCGGAAGCTCAGGGGTTTTGGGTATTTAATTACGGTCAGATGAGCATCCAGGGGCCCGCCTTAGGGCCCTTGGTGAGGTCCAGGGGGCAGAGCCCCCGGAAGCTCAGGGGTTTGAGGTATTTAATTACGGTCAGATGAGCATCCAGGGGCCCGTTTTAGGGCTCTCGGTGGGTTCCAGGGGGCATAACCCCCGGAAGCTCGGGGTTTTTGGTATTTAATTACGGTCAGATGAGCATCCAGGGGGCAGAGCCCCCGGAAGCTCAGGGGTTTTAGGTATTTAATTACGGTTAGATTGCATCCAGGGGACCGCCTTAGGGCCCTTGGTAGGGCTCGGGGGCGGAGCCCCCGTAAGCTCTGACGTTTTAGGCATTTAATTACGGTCAGATGATCATTTTTTCTACCTTATTTGTAACATTGGCAGGTCACTAATTTTTTCTCTCCGTCTTTCTTTCTTTTTCTCTTTAACATACTTTTTCAAAAAGTGAGGGGGGGGGGCTCGAGCCCAGCCACTTTGCAAACCTTTACATGAAGGTTTCTAAATAAGCGTATTTTTCGCCCGACTGTAATTTGGGAATTTCTTATTTTCCAACAAACGCATAAAAAGGTATGACTTACAAAAAAATGGAGAAAAAAAAACCCAGAAAATCATGTCATAACAGTAATATTTGTAAATCACTGGTATCGAATAAGAAAATACACCCCCCCCCCCCTCCCCCATCAGTACGCCAGCGTTCAGGGGCTCATGTCTTCTCACCCCTATAACAAAAAAAACAGACACGCTTTCCCATTCTCGCACAATATTTCCACAATATGCGCGTATCGCTATTATAAAGACCTCCATTGATATATACCGTATAGGTGGAATGCGCAATGTTAATGAAATTGAATTCATGTGAACTTTCCTTTTCTTTGAATGGAATTTTATATGTGATTTAATTCAGGTTTTTATTATTGTTATGTTCTTTTGGGTTAAAAATACAAACCATATTTACTCCTTAACTGCCTTCTTTTTTTTTTTTTTGGAGGGGGGGGGGCGTTTTGGGGGGGCAAAAATGCGTTTTGCCCCCCCCCACTTTTTTGATTGGGGGGGCAACTGCCCCCCCCCTGCCCCCCCACTTCCGGCGCCTATGCAACTAATCAAGCAGCACAGTTTCCTCTTCTTTTTGTTTGGGGGGGGGGGGGGTTAAAAAAAAATGCCGTTTTGGCACCACAGCACATCCAATATATCACGTGTTGTTGTTGTTGATGATGTTGTTGCTGTTACTGCTGTTGCTGTTGTTTCCTTTCTTTTTTGTTAAAGGATGCATACATGAACTAACCATTTTTTCACAACAAAAAAATATTGAAATCAATTAACTGTAGTGCAATTGTCTAATTTTACTCCATGCACCACATTTTTGTAACCTTGCAAGATTGCTTCTTGTGACGGAGATTCTTATTTCCTTTTTAACTATTCTAGTTTATTGGGTAGGGCTATAATTATAATTACGAACCATCATGCCCATATCCCATATTTCCTTCTTCTACTTTTTCTACGTAAAGATCTAGTTGGTCGTTTTACATTTGTTATCATTATGCGGTCTGTACCTTGCCAATTTTTCTTCCGGGTCAAGACCGACAACCCGCGAGACCAACAGCCCCCAACATCGACAAGGTCGGTCTGGTCAACCTTGTGACTTACTCTCGCTCTCAATGGCCTTCTGACAACAACTTTTCGGAAAGGTTCACGAAACCAACATTGTCGGTCTCGTGGGCTGTTATCATATTCTGCATCGCCATATCGTCGATATATTTACATGATACAAAAATTATGTTTGTCATTATTTTGAGGGATCCACATTTTACAAGCTTTGCTTTTCAGTGGATCCCGCTCCATTTTCACAGGTTTATCTCTAAAAAGAAAAATTATAAACCCATTATACTGGATATATATGTATACTTTCTATTTCACAACTTTAAACCATGTAAAATGTATTATATTATTGAACGCTGAATTGTATATCTGATTTCTTGTCAAAAATAATGTTCTGTTGGACATGAAAAATAAAACTGAAACTGAAACTGAAACTGAAATTATTTTTACTCACGTGTGCTCTAATGTCGATTAATCATTTTTTCATATGTTGGGGTCCTGTTCTGTCATTATTTTTCAGCTGGGCAACAGTCAACGATAACTCAGCATGAACCTACACCGCCCTTTATCACCGAGAAAGGTAGTACTGTATTACAAAGTGTTTTCATATTTTTATATTATCAAGGGTATTTCCCCGGTAACGGGGGCGGGGGGCGGGGTTATGTACAACTCCTGTTTGCCTTCAAACATAGGAAGGGGTGTATCCTTCGCCAATTTTTCTCTTTTCCTCTTCGGTGGGACATTGTTAATCCTTAATCATAGCCTTCGCCTATATGCTCTATATTTCAGTGTATGAAGACGTGCTCACGGCCTCACGCGTTTTATATTTGGTAAAGAGAAAAACAATTATGCAACAATTATTATGTAATGCTGTATTATTCCCTCTAAATTCTTAAGATTTGGACTTTTATTCGAAAAAATATCAAGAGGCATCATTCAACTCAAATGGACCTGTCTCCTTTGATATAGGCTTACCACGCACTGACTCTTTCTACTGTAGTTGCCATTATTAATATTATTAATATTATCATTGCTATTATTATTATGATTATTATTTTTATTATCATTAATATATTTTTATGGAGCTTGTGGCTTATTGGCCTTGTACTAAACAAGCTATCCAATAAAATATATTATATCTTGCATCAAAAATTTGTTGGCTTTTGATTGGTTGAGAGCTCGTCACATGACCAGAAATATTTGACCTATTTTTAGAAAGTACTATATGAGAGTACTATTTTGGTTTACTATTTGGGAGTTGAAAAAAAAAAGTGATTTTTTTTTTTCTTCAATTGAATCAATTTTTTTCTTCAAATCTTAGTATTTCACCACTACTACTGCTACTTCTACTACTTCTACTACTACTACTCCTACTACTAGCTACTACTTCTTCTACTGGTCGAGCTTCTCTTCTTTTGTTCTAATTTTTAAGCCTTACAGAAAGATTTTTGAGAACCGCAGCCAATATTTCTCTTTTCCTTTCTCCCCTTTTTCCCGTTTGACTTAAAGGAGTGACGGCCGCGGTCCTAGGAACTCTATGTGGAATCCTGCTCATCTATAGTGTTATAGTTTCTTTGTTGCTTTACTTATCAAGGTATGAGTTAATACAGTTCCTAACAATATCATAGACCAGTTCGTAGTTAGCATGTATTACAAGTAACCCAAAACTATCCACATATCTTTTACACATGGAGAAGTCCCACTTCAACCCGTGTTCCATAGAATGTACCGTCGTGACGGTGCATACATAAAAAACAATTACATGACTTTCATGAGTACGTATCCGGTATTCTTTTCAAAGGGTTTAACAATTTTGGTACAAATTACCTTCATCTGCCCGTGCGCAGACTTGTATCTACGAACTGGTTATTGGATCAATAGGAGCTCGTTCCTTAGTAACATCCTTGGAAATATGACAAAATGGTGAAATGGTTGTATCAATTAAAAATGCACTCCCCGCAGGGGCGTCGCCAAAGGGGGGGGGGGGGTGCGACACCCCCACCTGTCAGGATATTGTCGGTAAAATTGCGCTGCCGTCGGGAAAGAGAAAAGGGGGAGGGAAAAAAAAGAGAGGGAAAAAAAGAGAGGGGAAAAAAGAGAGAGAAAAAAAGAAAGGGAAAAAAGAGAGGGAAAGGGAAAGAAAAGAAAAAAAAGAAAAGGAAAAAAGAAGAAATAAGAGTGAAAGGGAAACAAAAGAACCGGGGGTGAAAGAGAGGAGAGTTCTGGTTCTGGTTCTGGTTCTGGTTCTGGTGGGGTACTGCATAAACTCCTCAGCTGGGATGTAACATGCAGGCGCAGTCGACTGAGCATAGTATCCTATACTTAATTTCTGAAGTGGGCTCTAGCAATTATTTCGCCCATGTTGAGCTTTTGTAAGGTATCTTTAAAGGCTCCAAGGGTGGGGGTATTTCTAGCATGGGTAGGGAGAAAGTTCCATTCGGGGAATGTCCTGGGATATAGAGAGTGTTTATAACAGTCCTTTACAGCGGATAACTTCTTGAATGATACTGAAGACCTTATTCTTGTAGATACCCCTACTCCAGATGACCTGTTTTGGTAGTGGTCAGTATCAATGGCAATTAAGTTGTGGATGGATTTGTAGAGGAAAGTCAACCTCTGGGCTGCTCTTCTGTGCTCCAATGGTTGCCATTTCAGATAGGAGATCATCTCAGGGACGCTGCTCCGGCGTTCATGACGGTTCAAGACGAATCTTGCAGCACGTCGTTGAACTCCTTCGAGTTGTTTTATGTATTCCTTCTGATAAGGGTCCCAAACTGAGGCACAGTACTCAAGTCGTGGCCTGACGAGAGTTTTATAGGAAACTGCTTTTATTTTGGGAGAGCAGCTAAAGAGGTTTCTCCGAAGTAATCCAAGCATCCGATTTGCCCTTGATGTAACATTTTGGATGTGATTTGCCCAGCTGAGTTTACTGTCAAGTTCTACCCCCAAATATGTGTGCTTGAGTACAACTTCCAAAACGGAATCCCCCATTCGATACTGTGTTTCGATTATCTTCTTTTTGTGAGTAAAATGCATTGCATAACATTTTGTTTTGTTGAATTTCATTTGCCAGCGTTGTTACCAAGCAACCAGGCGATTGATGTCTCTCTGTAGATCCAGACTATCTTGGTTGCTCTTTATCTGCCTATACATGATGCAATCGTCGGCAAAAAGTCGGACTTCTGACGTTATTCCCTCAGATATGTCGTTTATGTACATGAGAAACAGCAAAGGGCCTAATACAGTGCCCTGCGGTACTCCTGACGTGACGTGTATGGAAGATGAGGAGGTACCATCAAGAACAACTTGTTGAGATCTTTTTGTAAGGAAGTTTTTAATCCATATGTGCAAAGATCCTTGGATTCCGGCATGATGAAGTTTTAGGAGGAGTCTCTCATGTGGGACCATATCGAACGCCTTGCAAAAGTCCATGATAATGATGTCGACTTGGCCTTTGTCCTCTAACATCTTGGCAAGATCATTGACGGTCAAGGCTCGCTGGGTCTCACATGAGTGACCCCTACGGAAGCCATGCTGTTTGTCGTTCAGGTAACCGACTTCCTCTAGGTGAGACATTACGCTATAATAAATAATATGTTCCAAAATCTTGCATGGGATCGAGGTCAACGATACAGGACGGTAGTTAGCTGGTTCCGAACGATTACCTTTCTTGTACAGGGGAGTGACATTTGCTCGTAACCAGTCTCTTGGAAGTTCACCAGTAGATATTGATTTCTGGTGAATAATGGTTAAGGGTAGGTAAGAGTCTGAGAGAGGAGGAGTGGGAGTAAAAGAAGAGAAGGTACGATGAATCGTCTACCTTTCTCTAAATTGTTATGAAACGCGGGAGGGGGAAGCTTCATTCAGATAAGGATTAAGAGTCGAGAACAGTACACCGAATCGTCTACTTTTTCTCATAATTTAATGAAACGTCAAAGCTTCCGCGCTTTGCGCGGGAGGGGGGAACTGAATTCAGAAAAGGATAAACAGTCGAGAACGGTACAGCAAATCGTCTTCTTTTTTATAATAATTTAATGAAACGTCAAAGCTTTCGCGCTTCGCGCGGGAGGGGGGGGGGGATTTCATTCAGCCAAGGATTACCAGTCGAAAACGGTACAATTAATCGTCTTCTTTTCCTAATAATTTAAGGAAACCTCTAAGCTTCCGCGCTTCGCTTCCGCGCTTTTAAGTGATTCTCTTGCTCACTACCGCCCCTCCCTAAAATAAGATCCTAGCTCCGCGCCTGCATTAAAATATATAGCTATGATGCTGACTAAATTGAAGAAATAATTCGTATATTTATGTCGTCGAGGAAAATGACCATTTTGCGCATATGAAAGTACTATAGATAGTCCATAGGAAAAACAGTTTAGCCTTCGGCCCCAGGTTTATAGGGTTGAATTTGTAGATATTGGACATTTAATTTTGTCGGTAATTGGTGGCTAGTTTTGTCGGTAATCGTTGGCCTCTACACCCCCCCCCCCACTGAAAAAGGTCTAGCGACGCCCCTGACTCCCCGTTGTAGTCACAATTTCTATCAACAGAATCTTTTTACCATATGACATTTCAGACGAGCTCGACGATCCTTGAGGAACTCTAAAGAACCCACTGCTGCTAAGCAGAAACCATACACCGGTCTTGATCGGACGAATCCGGAACGCAATTCCTATCAAGGCATATACCTGAGCCCGAACGGAGAAGGAGATCAATGCCCGAATTCCGTCCAAACTCATTCCTACCAAGAGATCGTAACTCCTTGCTCCTCCTACCGAAATGACGCGGTGGGGCAAGTGCGCGGACGACAGGCGGCGAATGAAGCAGGGAGAAGTGCCCCCGACGATCCTGGTGACGAGAATTACGTCATACCTAGCTGAACTCTAAAAATATCCGTCATGTAAGGAACCCGGAAAATTGATTCGGGCGTTATTTTCTCATAGATACAGGGTTTTGATTACGATCGCAGTTTGATTGTAGGGTAGGTGTAGGTTAAGGAATAGATTACAGTTTGGTATAGTGTTTGATACAAGGTTAAAGTTATGAATATAGCTAGTGTATAGGAACACGACTGCGGAGTAATCGTCGTCGGAGTATTTGTCGAAGCACCCGGGTTTTAACTGTGTTTCATTATCTAAAATGATTACAAATTCGTTTATTCATAAAATCAACGTTTATTTTTAGCTTATCACTAATAGCATACCTGTATAGTGTGTTTATGCCCTACATCTTATATTTTTCTCCAAGAAATGTGTACGAGAACAATATTGATTTTTGCTATAAAAGGAAGATCGTCACGTATTTACCCCTGTCTGTGTTTAATAAAACATACATTTTATTCACATGTTCGGCAGTATTTTCAATAAAGTGTATAACTGTCACTGTCATCACTGACAAATGAGATATTTTCTGTAGAAGAATGGATGTGAAAAACCAAAAAACAGCGTTATGTCAACATGCAGATTCCTGTTATTTCATGCCATTAGCGTAGTTGTATATCACCATATTTCATATTTTCGGAGATGCATAAGTTTCCCAGTTTTTCAGTTTTGACTTAACTAAATCATGATTTGATATGAGCTGACGAATGTATACCCAATTTAATTGGAAAATGTAATCACTCTGTATTATGTCTTCGAGTTTTTGTCGAATTCGATTATGTACGTAACAAAGCCAAAGATTGACCGTGACTAGTTTCTATGCTGTACTAAATTATGCAATATTATTCAACCATATAGCTGCGAAAATTATGTTATTATTTAATGAATCATTGTAATAGTGGTTGAATAATAACCAGTACCCGACTTCCAGTAGTTTTGTCGGCACTCACCCGATTTATGATATGGAGCTGGGTTAGTATTTCGTAATGTGGATAATTATGGCCAAGATGAAGATGGCACTGGTCACAATTGTATACGCTGTGGATTATTGCTGTTTTTTTTATAAAATATTATGATCATAAACATTTATGAAATTGTCTGTCATGTTAGATTCAGATTCAGATGAATCTATTTACTTTATTATAATATAGCATGATATAAATAACGTAACAGCAATACGCCATTGAATTGACTTAAGTTGCTATTTAATTTTTCTAAAATACATGATCTCGATATAATTCTTCCAAAGATTTAAACAAAAATGTATTTCTGTCATTCCTTTTCCCAGTCCTACCGTCATGACGTCAGCTACTAAAAATAGACCTCATGCCCAGTTTAAAAGCTCAGTCTAACAAGTCAGAAGTCGAATTGAACAGAAAAATAAGTCTAGACTGACATCTAAATTATGTCTTTCTGTCGACCATACTTGAATAAAAGGATTTTAAAAACCTTGAGTAAGCAAAGCCGACAAATTCTATATATTTTAACCTGGATCACGTGCCCAAAATTACAAACGATTAAGACACATGCACACACAAAGGCGAGCTAGCCAAAAGGAAACCAACCAACTGGGACGGCGATTTCTTTTCATGACCGGGGGGGGGGGGGCGGGGGACGAAATGCGATTGGGAATCTGTTTTCCGTTGGTATCACGGTGATACCAACGAAATACAGATTTGCTACAATATTTTACTTGTGCATATTATGCGAGGAGGCGTAGCGACCGAGCAAGAAATTTTTGCATTTGTATTAGTATAAACGCTGCACTCTTGGACCCTCCAGAGCCTAGAAGTGTGTTGAAGTCTTTAGTCAGTATTTGCTGTCCAATTTTGTGTGTGCATTTTTTCAAACTTTCCAGGGGAGGGGGATCAGATCCCCCCTAAACAGTGTCCCCCCCCCCCCTGCAACCAACTATCAGACAGGCACAATAATTATTAGCGATTATGAAGATTTTCTCACAGTTCATATAAACACGCGCAACTGGCTTAACCAGATACGAAGAAACCGTCAATGCCAACCCCCTTCATTTTGCGCCGAGAAGGGAGTTTACAGATACAATCTGCGCATGGGCAGATAAAGGTCATTTGTACCAAAATGGTAAAACCCACATAGATGAATACTGGATATGCGCTCATGAAAGTTATGTAACATTATTCATTTATGCACCAACGGTACATTCTATGATACGCAGGTGGAAGTATTCTTTTCAAGAGGTCAAACAAAAGGTATTCATGAAGCACATCTAGGACTTTGGCAGTTATTATTCTAAGATGCTCAAAGTGGAACTTCTCCATGTGTAAAAGATCGGTGGATATTTGGGGTCATTTGTACCATGTGCTATCTGTAAACTCCCTTATTAGGCTAACATGACCTATTCGTCCCATTTATACAAATAAAAAATAAAAAATTCTAGCTTCCCGCAAGTGTTTTGATACTAATCAGAATTCATTTTCTATATATTACTGCATATTTTAATTCATTTGAATAATTTGTAAGTTAACGTAGTACATAAAATTATGCAAACGTTATTGTTCACATGAATAGTTACATGGGGTATAAAAAGAATCACGTACGCATTATTACAAGTGTCTCGACTCTCAGATTGAGTGATTTATTTGCATGTAAATACATATCGTAGTTATATTGGTAGTAGGAAAGGTGTAAACAGGTTGTGAAGAGTGAAATTGGGTCATCTGAAGCGAGATAAAGGAGAAGGCGAGAAAATGATTAAGTGAGGTTGCACAAATTGCATTTCAAATTGGAGATAAGGAATAGGGAAGGAGGAGGAGGAAGGAGAGAGAGAGAGAGAGAGAGAGAGAGAGAGAGAGGAAGGGAGGGAGAGAGAGAGAGAGAGAGATAAGTGCCCCTTCAGCTGTTGTAATTGCCTCTGTTCAAATATGAGAGGTGTCCCTTATATTTTGACAAGTGCCTCTGTCCTTTGTATGCCCTCTTTCATTCCTATAAGTGCTCGTTTCCATCTCAAATAAGTGCCCTTTTTTTTTTACACATGCCCCTTATCCTTTCGAATTAGTATCATTTTCCATCTGACAGTTGCCCTTTTTACTTTGTAATAAGTGCCCTTTTCTGTTGTCATAAGTAAGAGGGTAAGAGGACACTTTTTTTTTGGGAGGGGGGAGGGGGGGGGGGGGTCTCGAAATTTGAAAATTTGACATTTCGTTCCCTACGGGGGGGTAAGGTCACCTTTTTTAGGTCAGCCATTGGCATAATGTTTGTTATTAAAAAAAAAAATAATAAATAAATAAAAAATTTTAAAAAAAATCAAAAGGGTTTTTTTTTTTCCCTCCAAAATAACATACACAAACCATACACATACAAAAAAAACTCAAGGGGGGGGGTAACCCCAAACCCCCCCCCCCCCTTCCCCTGCGGTACGCGCCTGTCGTCAAGTAAATATTTTCCATCCTATCACCGAAAGGGCTTTTGCTCACTCAAGCGTAATTAATGTCAGATTTGTTGGTGTCATTTCATAGAACAGACCTATAGCTATCCACTAAGATGCCTTTTGGGGGAGAAATTATGTTGACATTTATTTTGGGAGAGAAATTCTTTTTTAACTCTTTTCTTTTTCCTTGGACGCACTGTAGAAATACGTGTGAATTTATCCTTTGAACCGGACCGATACACTATATGAAACGTTTGTATAAGACCAGTGTACATCGTATTTAACATCAGCAATACAATTGAGATAGTCAACATTAACATTTTACAGGAAACACATATAGGAAACAACGAGATTGTGAAGATGTATCAGCAAAACAGTAACATCTGCAAGAAAACTGAAACTATAAAAGTATGTATTAACTATGATGTCGTCATGTTTTATTCTTTTCTATTCTTTTTCTTTCTTTTCTAATCTTTTTCTTTCTTTTCTTACTTTTCTTTTCTTTACTTTTCTTTTCTTTTCTTTTCTTTTCTTTTCTTTTCTTTTTTTCTTTTCTTTTCTTTTCTTTTCTTTTCTTTTCTTTTCTTTCATTTCTTTTCTTTTCTTTTCTTTTCTTTTCTTTTCTTTTCTTTTCTTTTCTTTTCTTTTCTTTTCTTTTCATTTCTTTTCTTTTCTTTTCTTTTCTGTTCTTTTCTTTTCTTTTTTTCCTTTCCTGCAGTTTCTTTTATTTTCCTTGAACATAAATGTATGGTTCGACTTTGGGAGAAAAACATGCATTAAGTATTTGTCAATGTCTAGAATCAATGTCCGGGCCAAAATACCTCAGGAATTGTCTTCAACTTGTCTTCAGGGGCAGTGAAGAATCTAGGATTCTCTGGCGAAATAACGTGTCAAGTATGGGGATGTTTAATACAAAATATAACAAAATAAAAAAAGGTCATCACGTTTTTTGGTGATACGTTTTTGCTAAAAAAACAGATAATATACGCCACACGTTGAGTAAGTTGAGAAGACATAAAATGTGGAAGTATTTAGAGCTTTAAGCCAGGAGTGAAAGCGAAAGAGGAAATGAAATATTATTACTCAATGCTGGGGTCCAAATATTTACTTTAGCTTTACTTTCAGTGCACAACATAGTCGTGGTGATACCCTTGTCATACCAATAAGGCAATCTTATTTACATTTGTATTTTACTTGTCATTTCCTGTAGAAGGCAATGTATGATCTTTTGGTACTGGTTGGTAGTGGGGTAATCCGTTTGGCAGCTCTCCAAGGGAGCTATACTGGGATATAAGGCGAGTGACTGCAAGGAGTGCCACTTTTACCTTGTCAGTTATTATAATAAAGATAAAGATCTTTGCCAAAGCGAAAAGTCAGTTTTATTTGAGATATTGCTTCATCGAGCAGTATTGATCATTCTCCTGACGTCATTTTACCAAAAGACAATATGTGGAACTAACTGATGATATGACTTTTGTAAAACATCGGGCAAGTAAAAGGAACAAACTAAATTAATAATACAATCTCTAAGTATTAAAAAAAATATATTTTGTTGATTATTCTGTGATTAGCTATGGATACCTACCGCATGCTGTTCTACATTGTACCGATAATACTGGTTTTGGCTCATACATCTCAGTCTGAAGGGCAGTCATTTGGTAAGTTGGAGATATCATTTTGGATCCTTTCAGATTATCTTCTTCGCCTCTGTCATTATTTTTCATTCATAATTATTACTATCATTATTATCGTCACTACTATCATCTTTATCATCATTAAGAATATTTTTATAATTAT